GAGGCTGAGGTGGGAATATTGCTTGACCCGGGACCTAGGAAACAGGTTGCAGTGAGCCAAGATCGTACCACTGCACTCCCGCCTGGGCTACAGAGGGAGACTCCATCTCAAAAAAAAGAGAAAATTAACCCTCCTACTGCTAACCACAATTCTATCCGTAGACCACAGGCACGATATGGGGGAACCTTATCCCGGAAGTCATTGTTCTTGCTCAGCCTCTCAAGACCCCTAGCTAGTCACATCCCCCACGCTTGCTAAATCAATCACGACCCTCCCACAGGTGCACCTCTTACATCTCTTAGATTGTGAGCCTTTAAAAGGGCCAGGATTTTCCTTGTCGGGGAGCTCGGTTGTTGAGGTGTCTTTGCCTGCCGAAGCTCCCAGCCGAATAAAATTACCACTTCCTTCCTTATTCGGTGTTCCAGAGGTTTGTTTGTGGCTGCCACTGCCTCAGGCCAACATGATGAAACCCCCTCTCTACTCAAAATAATAAAGTTAGCTGGGCATGGTGGCGTGCACCTGTAATCCCAGCTACTTGGAAGGCTGAGGCAGGAGAATCACTTGAAGCTGGGAGTCAGAGGTCGCAGTGAGCTGAGATCATGCCATTGCATGATCCAGCCTGGGCAACAAGAGCAAAACTCCATCTCAAAAATAAATCAATAAAAATAAACGATTTCCTCAATTTGTAAGTCACCACATCGATATATTCAATGTGGATTATATTATTTCTTCCATGATGAGTCATGGAGGGCAGAACCTTTAATAACAAAAGCTTTAAGGACTCAGGAAGGACAAGGCGGCCGTCCTGGTTCTCCAGGACTCCATGCTTAACACTGGACTCATGTCCTCTCGAATACGCTTTGTTTCTCTAATGTGGGTGTGTAACACTGATACCCACGTTATCATAGGCAATCTTAGACCATTGAGTTCATTCAGATTGTGTATCTAAATAATTTTAGTCTGGGCCGGTTTAGCATGATCACCTGGTAAAGTATTTTTGGTGTGTAATTCATTTTTGTTTCACTTGTGCTAGCAGTTTCATAAACCCGTCAGTTTTTGTTTTTTGTGTGTGTGTTTTTTTTTAATCGAAGCTACAGGAATTCTTACCATGGAGTTACAGGAATTTTTGCAGAATTGGGGAATTCATGGGGAATTCTTACCCTTGATATGACATTTTAAAATGTATTTACTTTTCTATGACATGATTTTAAAGTTATTAGCCTGTATTCAAGAGTGCTTTTCGGAGTCCTTTCCATCCTTTTAGGAATCTTTTAAAAGATACCATCTTCTAGGATTTTGCATGCTTGTAAAGTCTTCAGAAACTGCATCAGCCTTAAGCAATTAGCAGTGGAAATGACTGTAAATAGTTACAGTTTTTATTTATTTATTTTATAATTTGAGACGGAGTCTCTCTCTGTTGCCCAGGCTGGAGTGCAATGGCGCGATCTCGGCTCACTGCAACCTCCGCCTCCTGGGTTCAAGCGATTCTCCTGTCTCAGCCTCCCGAGTAGCTGTGATTACAGGCATCCACCACCATGCCTAGCTCATTTTTTGTATTTTTAGTAGAGATGGGGTTTCACCATGTTGGCCAGGCTGGTCTCGAACTCCTGACCTTGTGATCTGCCCACCTCGGCCTTCCAAAGTGCTGGGATTACAGGGCTGGAGTGTATTGGCTGGGGTGTGAGCCAATACACCTGGCTGTTTTTTGCTTTTTTTAGTCAATTTTGTGGGCACCTCTGCTCCATAGAGTTTGACCTTATTTATTTGAACACATATTAGATACTGAGAAGGGACAGAGGTTACCTGGACTACAGAATAATTCAGTGATTCTAGACTCAGCAGGGACTCCTTCAATAGAGCGTTGCTGATTTTTAATTTTTTGGTGCTGTAGAACAAAATACTTCCTAGTTTTTTTTTTTGAGACGAAGTTTTGCTCTTGTTGCCCAGGCTGGAGTGCAATGGCACGATCTCGGCTCATCACAACTTCCACCTCCTGGGTTCAAGCAATTCTCCTGCTTCAGCTTCCTGAGTAGCTGGGATTACAGGTACACGCCACCATGTCCAGCTAATTTTGTATTTTTAGTGGAGATGGGATTCTCCATGTTGGTCAGGCTGGTCTCAAACTCCCAACCTCAGGTGATCCACCCGCCTCAGCCTCCCAAAGTGCTGAGATTACAGGCATGAGCCACAGCGCCCTGCCTTTTTTGGCGGGGGATGGAGTCTTTCTCTGTTGCCCAGACTGGAGTGCAGTGGCATGATCTGGGCTCACTGCAAACCCCGCCTCCCAGGTTCAAGAGATTCTCCTGCCTCAGCCTCCCAAGCAGCTGGGATTACAGTTGGGAACCACCACACCCAGCTACTTTTGTATTTTTAGTGGAGACAGGGTTTCTCCATGTTGGTCAGGCTGGTCTCAAACCCCTGACCTCAGGTGATCCACCCACCTCAGCCTCCCAGAGTGCTGGGATTGCAGGCATGAGCCACTGTACCTGGCTGTAACTCAGTATCTTAGTCCATACGCCCTATAATGAAATACCACAGACTGGGTGATTCACAAACAAGAGAAATTTACTGTCACAGCACCAGTGGGTGGGTCGTCAGAGATCAAGATACTGGCAGATTTGGTGTCTGGTGAGGGCCGCTCTCTGCTGCCAAGGTGGTGCCTTGCTGCTGCACCCTCCACAGGGGAGGAGCGCTGTATCCTCACATCGTAGATGGGGAAGGGCAAGTGAGCCAGTGCCTGAATGAAGCCTGTAGGTAACCCCCGACATGAGCAGCACCAAGGAAGGAGAGCTGTGGAAACCTCAGGCACAGTTAGTGCCTGAAGACTATCTTATTTTATAGTGTTAATAATTACTCAGCGATTTCCTTTATATAATCTTTCTATATAATCATATAGTAACTTACTGCTTAATACATCTAGCTTATATAAACACACTTAGTACTTATATCTAGCATACTTAGTTCCATATCATCTTTCTATGTAGTCACATAAATATTATAGTCTATTCTATATAATCATATATGTATTGTAGTCGGAGCTGTACCGACATGTTTAGCGCTGATTTATATAATCCTTCCATATAACCATATGGTAGTTTGTAGTAGGAGGAGTCCCTAGAGGAGTCACAAAGCGGAAGCAGTACATGGGAAAACAGCCAGACCAGGACAAGAACCAAAGATCCAGGCGGTGGCATCCCTGCCTGAAAGGGCATACTCTGTATGGCAGACTTGGAGCAAGAGCCTCTCCTCTTGATAAAGGAGTTGTAGCACCTTGCATCCAGTTCCTGTAGACCTCAGGCCTGAGATCCCGCAAATAACCGAGGGAGAAGAACCCCTCTGGTGTGACCAGTCACAGCAGCTGTACACCCTGTCAGCCTTTTCTCACTTCTGGGCTAGTTCAAATCATCCTCCCATAAATATCTTAGAGAAGAGCACAAGTCTGTCAGCTCCCACTGCACTGGCTTACAGTATCCTTCTATTAGAAGTTCTTTGAAGTCTCCAGCCCCCAGATAGGAAGTGTTGTGCATGACACCTGTTGCACACAGCCCACCTCCTTGCCTCGGAGACCTAATGGGGGTGGACCCCTTATCTGTGCATGAGCCCCTACTGCGCATGGCACGGCCCCCTACTGTGCATATCCCCCTACTGCTCATGGCCCACCTGTCTTCCCAGGCAACATAATGGGGTGGCCCCCTCACCTGCTACTTACATGATTATGTATGCCCTATCACTAAGCCTATAGATGACCTCACTCACGACCCTACCCCCCTGCCTTGTACCTAATAAATACAGATGCTTCTGGACATTCGGGGCCTCACCTGTCTCCGATCATAGGTGGCATGGCCCCCTGAGTCCAGCTGCTCTTCTCAAGTTCTTCAGTGTCCTGTCTCTTCTCTGATCCTGTGCCTCAACACAGCATAACGGACACCCGAAAACCCTGTGGGGCCAACAGCCCTAAAGAAGCCTCCTGTATAAGGGCCTTAATCCTGTTCATGAGGGAGGGGCTTAGTCACCCCTCTAATACCATCACATTGGCAACATCTGGATTTCAGAGGGGACCCATTCAAACCATAACACCCAGGATTTATGGACGTTTTTCTCTTTTCTTTTCTTTTCTTTTTTTTTCTTTTTGAGACGGAGTCTCGCTCTTTCACCCAGGCTGGAGTGAAGTGACACGATCTCGCCTCACTGCAACCTCTGCCCGCCAGGTTCCAATAACATAAATATATTTTCCCCACTCCTCTTGTTATTCAGAATTCATATTTTGTTTCAAAGGTCCTATATCTGGCTGGTGACTAAATGCAATCCCACTAGTAAAACTGAATCGTTTCCCATCTTCAAATGTACATTGATTTTACAGAAAGCCCAGAATTCAACTCCAAAGGTGAATAAAATGAAGTATCAGAGAACAAAATTGCCAGGGAGCTTCCATTTCTTTGCTCCCCCAAAAAGAGTCTCCCAGTTCCCTGCAACCCAAAAGAATCAAGTGAGATTCTCCTGGCTCAGCCTCACAAGTAGCTGGGATTACAGGTGCCGCCACCATGCCTGGCTAATTTTTGTATTTTTAGTTGAGCTAGGGTTTCACCATGTTGGCCAGGCTGGTCTCGAACTCCTGACCTCAGGTGATCCATCCGCCTCACCCTCCGAAACTGCTAGGGTGACAGGTATGAGCCAGTGCACCTGGTGGCCGGATTTACAGACTTTAAAATTATCTTTATTTTTTTCAATTATAAAATTATTCACCCACTTAGAAAAGCAAAATGAAAGAAGGAGGAAAGAAAGGTCTTCTTGTACTTGGGTAAGGCCAGGTCTAGGGCAAGGAACAGGCACTGTGGAGCTTGGTGCTTGCTCACGGGGCCAGCAGGCTATGAGGCGATGACACGCCCCAGGGACAGTCATCTCCAGTGGCTTCTTGATGATGAGGGGGATCCTGGTCCAAGCTGCAAATTTCTCAAGTCAGTCCCTAAATTATCCACAACGAGGGACTGTTGAGAGGGAAAGAGAGAAGTTAGGAGGCACCAACTGTAAGACAACACAGGGAGGAAGGAGTGAGCTGTGAGGATGAGATCTCTAGGAAGAGAAAAGGACTGGCACCAGAAGGGCCGGGAAGGCCTGGAGAAAAACAGGAGGGTGACGAGAGCATCTTAGGCAAGGGAGACTGTCTGTTTCCTCTGTTGATGGTTTCTTTTGCTCTGTAGGAGCTCCATTTAATTAGATCGCAATTGCCAACGTCTGGTTTGGTTGCATTTGCTTTTCAGAATTTAGTCATAAATACTTTGCATAGACGAGTGTCCAGCAGAGTATTTCATATTTCCCAGGTTTTCTTCTAAGATTTTTTTTTTTTTGAGACAGAGTCTCGCTCTGTCCCCCAGGCTGGAGTGCGATGGTGCAATCTCCGCTCACCGCAACCTCTGCCTCCCGGGTTCAAGTGATTCTTCTGCTTCAGCCTCCTGAGTAGCTCTGATTACAGGTACGTACCACTACACCTGGCTAATTTTTTGTATTTTTTTTTTAGTAAAGACAGGGTTTCACCATGTTGGTCAGGCTGGTCTCAGTCTCCTGACCTTGTGATCCGCCTGACTCCGCCTCGCAAAGTGCTGAGATTACACGTGTGAGCCACCACACCCAGCCTTTTTCTAAGATTTTTATAGTTTGAGGTCTTACAGTTACATCTTTAATTCACTTGGGTTAATTTTTTTTTTTTTGAGATGGAGTTTTGCTCTTGTTCCCCAGGCTGGAGTGCAATGGCCTAATCTTGGCTCATCACAACCTCCACCTCCTAGGTTCAAGCAATTCTCCTGCCTGAGCCTCCTGAGTAGCTGGGATTATGGGTATGTGCCACCATGCCCGGTTAATTTTGTATTTTTAGTAGAGACAGGGTTTCTCCATGTTGGTCAGCCTTGTCTCGAACTCCTGACCTCAGGTGATCCGCCTGCCTTGGCCTCCCAAAGTGTCGGGATTACAGGCGTGAGCCACCACACCCAGCCCTTTTTCCAAAAAAAAAAAAAAAAACAGCGAAGTCTCACTCTGTTGCCCAGGCTGCAGTAGTGCAGTGGCATGATCTCGGCTCACTACAGCCTTCACCTCCCAGAGCTCACTCGATCATCCCACCTCACCCTCCCGAACAGCTGAGACCATGGGTACATGCCACCATGTCTTGCTGATTTTCGTATTTTTGTGGAGATGTGGATTTGCCATGTTGCCCAGGCTGGTCTTGAACTCCTGGGCTCAAGCAATCCACCCACCTTGGCCTCCTGAAGTGCTGGGATTACAGGCATGAGTCATCATGCCCCACACGTCTCAAGTTAATTTTTTTCCTTTTTCGGGATGGAGTCTTGCTCTGTCACTCAGGCTGGAGTGCAGTGGTGCAATATCGGTTCACTGCAACCTCCACCTCCCAGATTCAAGCAATTCTCCTGCCTCAGCCTCCCAAGGAGCTGCGATGATAGGCACCCACCACCATACCCAGCTAATTTTTGTATTTTTAGTAGAGATGGGGTTTCGCCATGTTGGCCAGGCTGGTCTCGAACTCCTGACCTTGTGATCCACCCGCCTCAGCCTCCCAAAATGTTGAGATTACAGGCATGAGTTACCACGTCCAAGCCGAGTTAATTTTTGTATATGGTAAGGGGTACAAATGGACATAAAGATGGAAATAATAGACACGGGACCCCAAAAGAAGTGGGGGCAGGAGGGGGGCCAGGGTTGAAAAACTACCTATTGGATGCTATGTTCCAGTAGATGGGGTGACTCAAACCTCAGCATCACACAGTATATCCATGTAACAATCCTGCACATGTACCCCTAGAATCTAAAAGAACAAAAGAGGGAGAGAGGGAGGAGCTGGGAGCCCTGGTGTAAGAGAACACAAAAAAGAAACAGGTGGCAGGGCCGGATGCGGTGGCTCACACCTGTAATCCCAGCACTTTGGGAGGCTGCGGCAGGTGGATCACTTGAGACCAAGAGTTCAAGACCACCCTGGACAACATGGTAAAACCCTATCTCCACTAAAAATGAAAAAAATCAGCTGGGCATGGTGGCGGGTGCCTGTAATCCCAGCTACATGGGAGGCTGAAGCATGAGAATCACTTGAACCTGGGAGGCGGAGGTTGCACAGTGAGCTGAGATCGCACCACTGTACTCCGGCCTGGGTGACAGAGTGAGACCCTGTTTCAAAAAAGAAAAGAAAAAAAAAAAGTAGGGGGAAGAGCAGTGGGCAGAGGCGTGATCAGGAGTGGGGCTGAGGCGGGCGGTGAGGAGGCAGTGGGCAGCGGCAGGACAGCGTCTCACCTTTATCTTCTCCAGCCGTCTCTTTATGGACCGACTTCTTTCACCTAGCTCCTGTAACTTCTCAGAGGGGTTGAAGGGAGGCGGTTTCCCGTGATCCACAAAGTTTTCCCAGCAGTCAGTAAACTCTGAGATGGAAGAGGAGAAAGCGGCCAGGCCCAGGGCAGCAGCTGCAGCGCCAGGAGCTCCTTCCTTTCCCCTCTTCTCTCTTCCTCTCCCTAGACAGTGCTCTCTCTGGGGAATTCTCCCTCCTGGGTGGCGTCGGATCTTGGGTCTCAACTGGGCCACAATCCTTCCTTCCTGACCTCCCACAGATCCCCCCCACCCGCATCCCCACCCCTACCCCGCCGTTTTGGCCTCTTGGAACTACAAAGCCTCCTTCCTACCTGGGAGGCCCATGACCTCCACGGGGATCTGGGATTGCCACAGAAGCTGCAGCCCCTTCTTGCAGCTCAAGAGCCAGTGGTAGTACAGGCGGGAGGCGAAGATGCGCAGGTTCAGATGGACTTGAGCCTTGGCGAAGGCAACCAGCTTCTGGGCACAGGAGGGACAGGGGCTCCACGTGAGGTAACAGGTGACTTCGTAGCACTGGGTTTTGTCCAGTCCCATGGACTCAATCTTGTCAATAAAGCAAATTTCTGCATGGCGATTGTTCTGGAGAGGGTCCCGAACAGAGAGAAGGAAGGTAAGAAGACAGAGGCCAGGATTCACGTGACTGTGGCAGAGGGGAGGGGGGCGGGGGCAGAGGGGGTCTGTCCGGTGAACTTCCTGGTGTGTAGCCTGGCAAGCACCCACTTCCTGCCTTTCTGGGTTTACACAGCCCTGCACTCAGGCACTCGCGTGTTGATTCATTTGTCCCGGGTTTTCCACAGCTTTCTCTAAATTGGACAAAGATCCAGCATCCAGAGGAGGAGAGGACACCTCCATGCCCCAGTCCCAAAGCTCTGTCGACTTTGCCTTTGGACACCCGCCCAGGAGGCTGTGTCCAACCTGGAGATCCTAAAGAGCAGGTGAGAGCCGGGGATGGAGGGGGGGTTAGGGGGAGGAGGCAGGGCAGGGCAGGGCAGGCAGCAGAGCAGAAGGCAGGGATGTGATGGAGTTGCACTCAGACCGTGGCTCTGCCCCGCGGCTTTCCCAAAGTAGTGACTGAGCTGAGATCGGGAGAATGAGTAAATGTCAGCTTCCTCAAAGAGGGGCAGAAGAAGCATTCTACAGAAGGGATTCTGCAGAAGGGATGGCTTCTTGGGAGGTCAGGGGGTGGGAAGGGATGGGGAGTGTCCCAGGGAAGCTGGACCACTCAGACCCAGCTAAGCCAAAACCCAGGCAGGGACCGAGGGTTAGGAAAACACAGGGTGTTAAGTCAGCAACTGAGAAATTTCTAGGCAGGCATTTCATGTATTTTCCGCACACATCGGATGGGGTTAGCCCCTGCCGGTCCTGTGCCCATAGAGCCCGTGTGGCACCTTGTTTTTAAAGTAGCCTCTGGTAGGAGTGGAGCCATTCTGTGGCATCAGCTGGTAACACAAGTATGTCCTCTTGGGGTAGCAAGGCCGGTTGTTAAACTGTAAGCTGAATGTTTCGGCTGTTAGCAGAGGCATCACGTTTCTGTGCGACAGAAAGGGGAAAACCAAAGATGCAGGGAGCACCTTCTGGAGTCACCCCAGGCTCAAGCCACTTTTCAAACCCAACTGTTTTTTTTTTTTTTGAGACGGAATCCCACTCTGTCACCTAGTCTGGAGTGCGGTGGCTTCATCTCGGCTCACTGCAACCTCCGCCTTCCAGGTTCAAGCGATTCTCCTGCCTCAGCCTCCCAAATAGCTGGGATTACAGATGCCTGCCACCACACTCAGCTAATTTTTGTGTTTTTATTAGAGACAGGGTTTCACTATTGCTGGTCTTGAACTCCTGACCTCAGGTGATTCGCCCTCCTTGGCCTCCCAAAGTGTTGGGATTACAGGCGTGAGCCACTGCGCCCGGCCAGGATCTCTCTTTGTAAAATGTAATATTATGTTGCCAAGCGTGCTCCTGCGGGCCCAGACCCCTGTGCTCACTTCTTGTCTCCCTGCGGGCCTGAGCTCCTTTCTCTGGCTTCTCTGATTTGGTGGTTGCCCTTCTACTTTCTATTCTGCTTTCTGGAAAACCTCTGAGGATTTCAAGCCTCCTAGTCCTGATAATTCCTGCAGCCTTCCCAAACAGGAAGACCAGGGAGAGGGGAAGAGGAGGGGATGTTGGCAGGGGCAGCAGGGCCAAGGTGACCTCTGCCAGCTCAGGCCTAACTCTGGTCTTTCCAGGGGCAGACCCCTCATCCTCCCAGTATTTCTGCCACCCATCCTCCAACCCATCAAAAATAAGAGAAGTGAATAAAATTCTCCACTTCAAAATAAGAGCTCTTAGTATTTAAGTTCAATTAATTTCTGGCATTTTACCTATTCATGTTATTATTATTATTCTTAGTTTTAGTAGATAAGGGGTCTCCCTATGTTGCCCAGGCCGGTCTGGAACTCCTGGCCGCTAGTGATCCTCCCCTCTCAGCTTCCCAAAGTTTTGGGATTCCAGGCATGAGCCATTGTGCCTAGCAAGGCCTGTCATTAAAAAAAAAAAAAAAAAAAAAAATCAGGATAGCACCTCCATTCCGAGGCCCACTCTTCTAAGTGCTGGGAGGATCTGAGCTCATGTGATGATGACCTGGGCCTGCAGGGACCATTCCCATCTTACACAGGAGGCACCAGAGGTGCAGAGAGGCAGGGTAACCTGCCCAGGACATGGAGCTGGGCAGAGGGAGCTGGGGCCCCTTTCCAGGACAGCCCTGTCCAGCCTCTGCAGCACGGGCCCTGCAGGAGGGAGCCATTGTGGATCAGGCTCTCTTTTCACTAAGTTTTCAAGTAAAAGCATTTCTCCTGATCATCGAGTCTTTTCCCTATATTTTGAGTTATGGCGATTGTGGAGGAAGAGCATGTGTTTGGGGTCATCTGCATCCTCCTGTGCCCACAGTGGAGACATCCTTGGGAGGGATGATTTATCTTGTGCTTCAGAGACCATTCCCTCCCTGACACCCTCACATAAGACTTTGTATTGAAACAAAGTAAATCTTACAGAAAGTTCATCAAAGCACTGTGAATAAAATTCCATAGTGATCCAATCATCCTTTAGTTCAGTTCTCCCCGTTCCAGAGGCCAGGAATGGCGGGAAGCACACACAGGGAGCACCCTCCCAAGGTGGGGAGCACCAGCCTGGCCTTGGCTTTCAGGGGAGAGTCTCAGCAGGGGGCCTGGGCTGGAACAGGTTGGGGAGGCAGCCCATTCAGAAGCAGCAATGGGGCAGCCACACAGCAGAGGGTAGAGCAAGGCTGGGAGTGGGAGCAGCGGGGGAGCCAGAGGAGAGGGAGCCCAGGGCTGGGGATGGGGCAGGGATAGGGGAAGACCAGGACTGAGACCCGGCAGGGCCGCCAGGCAGGAAGGAGCAGCGGAGGGCAGAGCGGGCAGCAGTACCTGATCTGTGCTTCTGGCCACAGCCTCCTTGGCAGACCTGTCCCTGTTTGTCTGGGGCGCTAAGTTTCACTTTTGTTTCCAGGGCCCTTACTGTAAGGCGGCTCTCCTGAAAGTCACCTCCCAGGTCCTGGTGAGGAGGCTCCACCCTCTTCCTTTTGGGGGACTGGGAGGGAGGGCCTGGGGGTGCTTTAGATTCTTGGGGCTCCTTCTTTTCTCTACTTTCCTCAGGCTTGCAGGGGAAGTAGACGGAACCCTGATGGAGACAGCTCACCTCCCATCCTCCCATCCCCAGCTCCCTCCCCAGGTACAGTTTGCAAATTAATAAAGAAAGGAATAGAAGGCAGGTTGGGATGCCTGTAATCCCAGCACTTTGAGAGGCTGAGGTGGGGGCATCACCTGAAGTCAGGAGTTCGAGACCAGCCTGGCCAACATGGTGAAACTCCGTCTCTACTAAAAATACAAAAAAAATAGCTGGGTGTCGTGGTGCAAGCCTGTAGTCCCAGCTACTCGGGAGGCTGAGGCAGGAGAATCGCTTGAACTCAGGAGGTGGAGGTTGCAGTGAGCCGAGATCATGCCACTGCACTGCATCCTGGTGACAGTGCAAGACTCCCTCTCAAAAAAAAAAAAAAAAGAAAGACAAAAGCTTAAAGCCAGGGCATTCTTCCTTCTGCCTTCTGAGGGGTCCCTAGTCTGTAGTGCAGGAGCTTCTAATAACTGATCATGACTTCACCACGCCTTGTGGCTCACCTCGAGCCCTTTCCCGTAAGAGTTCTAAGAACCCACTCTTGGACTCCGGATCGGGACTCCTTTTCCAGCAACAAGCACAGGCCACAGTGGCCAGGCCAGGCCTCCCCTCCTCCTGGAGACAACGCCTAAGCCAAGGCCAGTCCTAGACACCACAGGGTGTCTGGTGAAGGAATTCACTGGAGGAGCAGTGGGAATGCTGCCTGCGGGAAAGACCGGGAAAGGGTTCCACCCTCCTTTCCATCCTCCCTGCTTCTCAGCCTGGGAGACTCAGCTCTGATTAACCAGCACTGCAGTGTGTAGTTCTGATGTCTCACCTGGCAGGATCCTGCTCATTCTGGAATCTTCCATGGACTGTAGCCCCAACATTAGGACAGATAGGGTGGAGGGGACGTCATTCCCAGGAACCTTCTAAATGCCCACCCAAGCTCCTGTGACTCTAGGGATCATGCAGGGTCTGGGGGGCTGTTGGGGTGTGCGGGGTGGATCTCAAAGTAGCTAGCTGCGGGGGAGAGATGGCACAGGAAGCCCTGGCCAGCACTCCAGCTCTGCTGTTGATTTGCTATGTGACCTGGGGACAGTGTGTCAGCCTCTCTGTGCTTGGGACCTCCTCTGACTGTCAGGATCACTATCTTTCTCTCCCACTGTTGTCTGGGGACTGGGCTGGGTAATGGGCACCGGCCCTGCTGGAGATGCAGTACCAGCCCTGACCCCATTTCTCACTTCACACCAGGCACAGAGTCCTGCCAGGAGGCTGAATGACAAAGGAACGTCAGCGGGGTGATAAGGAGGGGGCAGCAGCCTGCCCTATCCACTAGGAGAGTGGCATCTTGCCTGTGGAATCAGCCCTTGTCTGGATCCACATTCCCCTCTGTGGCTTCAATTCCTTTCATTCGTTTTATTTTTTGAGGCGGAATCTCACTCTTGTTGCCCAGGCTGGAGTATAGTTGGCCGGGTTGGTCTCAAACTCCTGACCTCAAGTGATGCACCCACCTCAGCCTCCCAAAGTGCTGGAATTATAGGCACCCCAAACCCCCTTCTATTCCTTTCTTTGTTCCTTTGCAAACTGTACCTGGGGAGGGAGCTGGGGATGGGGGGATGGGAGGTGAGCTGTCTCCATCAGGGTTCCGTCTACTTCCCCTGCAAGCCTGAGGAAGGTAGAGAAAAGAAGGAGCCCCAAGAATCTAAAGCACCCCCAGGCCCTCCCTCCCAGTCCTCCAAAAGGAAGAGGGTGGAGCCTCCTCACCAGGACCTGGGAGGTGACTTTCGGGAGAGCCGCCTTACAGCAAGGGCCCTGGTAACAAAAGTGAAACTCAGCGTCCCAGACAAACAGGGACAGGTCTGCCAAGGAGGCTGTGGCCAGAAGCACAGATCAGGTACTGCTGCCCGCTCTGCCCTCCGCTGCTCCTTCCTGCCTGGCGGCCCTGCCGGGTCTCAGTCCTGGTCTTCCCCTATCCCTGCCCCATCCCCAGCCCTGGGCTCCCTCTCCTCTGGCTCCCCCACTGCTCCCACTCCCAGCCATGCTCTATGCTCTGCTGTGTGGCTGCCCCATTGCTGCTTCTGAATGGGCTGCCTCCCCAACCTGTTCCAGCCCAGGCCCCCTGCTGAGACTCTCCCCTGAAAGCCATGGCCAGGCTGGTGCTCCCCACCTTGGGAGGGTGCTCCCTGTGTGTGCTTCCCGCCATTCCTGGCCTCTGGAACGGGGAGAACTGAACTAAAGGATGATTGGATCACTATGGAATTTTATTCACAGTGCTTTGATGAACTTTCTGTAAGATTTACTTTGTTTCAATACAAAGTCTTATGTGAGGGTGTCAGGGAGGGAATGGTCTCTGAAGCACAAGATAAATCATCCCTCCCAAGGATGTCTCCACTGTGGGCACAGGAGGATGCAGATGACCCCAAACACACGCTCTTCCTCCACAATCGCCATAACTCAAAATATAGGGAAAAGACTCAATGATCAGGAGAAATGCTTTTACTTGAAAACTTAGTGAAAAGAGAGCCTGATCCACAATGGCTCCCTCCTGCAGGACCCGTGCTACAGAGGCTGGACAGGGCTGTCCTGGAAAGGGGCCCCAGCTCCCTCTGCCCAGCTCCATGTCCTGCCTCTCTGCACCTCTGGCACCTCCTGTGTAAGATGGGAATGGTCCCTGCAGGCCCAGGTCATCATCATATGAGCTCAGAACCTCACAGCACTTACAAGAGTGGCCTGGGCCTCAGGTTTCAGTTCTGCCATGATCTAAAAATAATAATATACAGAGTTGAAATGTCAGGAAGGAACTGAGCTGAAAGGTTAAAAGCTATCATTTGAGGGTGAAGAGTTTCATTCTTTTTTTTTTCTAGACAGAGTTTTACTCTTGTCACCCAGGCTGGAGTGCAGTGGCGCCATCTCAGCTCACTGCAACCTCTGACTGGCAGTTTCCAGTGATTCTCCTGCGTCAGCCTCCAGAGTATCTGAGATTACAGGCACCTGCCACCATGCCTGGCTCATTCTTTTGTATTTTTAGTAGAGATGGGGTTTCACCATGTTGGCCAGGCTGGTCTCAAACTCCTGTCCTCAAGTGATCTGCCTGCCTCAGCTTCCCAAAGTGCTGGGATTACAGGCATGAGCCATAACGCTCAGGCAAGAACTTTATTCTCTTTTGCATTTTCCTAATGGTTTGGAGAGTGGGAAATATTGGAAAGAATGTACCCATGGAAAGACCAGAGTTGGGCCCTGAGCAGGGAGAGGTCACCCTGGCCCTGCTGCCCCCACCACCATCCCCTTCTCTTGTTCTCTCCATGGTCTTTTTTTATTTTTGAGATGCAGTCTTGCTGTGTCGCCAGGCTAGAGTGCAATTGGATGACCCTGGCAACCTCCCACAGCATTTCTCTGGCCTAATGCCTCCCAGGTTCAAGATTCCCCTGCCTCAGCCTCCCTAGTAGCTGAAATTACAGGCATGGCACTACCACACCCGGCTAACTTTTTGTATTTTAGTAGAGACAGGGTTTCACCATGTTGGCCAGGATGGTCTCAAACTCCTGACCTCATGATCCGCCCACCTCGGCCTCCCACAGTACTGGGATTACAGGCATAAGACACCCAGCCATCTCCCTGGTCTTTCTGCCTGGGCAGGCAGCAGAAATTCTCAGGCCTGTGGAGGGATGGGGGTGGCCCAGGGTTGTCCAGGGAGCTGTGCAGAGTGGACATCAGCCCGGAGGGCTCCAGGGAGCGCTCTCCATATTGGCTGGTTTCTCTCTTGTGTCTTCAGAAACACAGTTGTGCAAATGGATCCAGACACATTCTTCAAAGACTTTTATAATAGACCCATCCTTTCTGATCGGAACACCGTCTGGCTGTGCTACGAAGTGAAAATGAAAACAAACGACCGCTCAAGTTCCCCTTTGGTTGCAAACATCTTTGAAGGCAAGGTACCCAGACTCCAATTAATTTGCAGGCAGGAGCTAAGCCAGCTGGGGAAGCAAAGCACGCACTGATCAGTGAAATGCCTGGTAGTGGGCTTTTCTCCCACATTTTTCAAGTCTGTGGCCCTGTCCTTCCAGTTTGACCTTCCTACCTGACCTTCCTGCCTGACCTTTCTGCTTGACCTTCCTGTCTGACCTTCCTGCTTGACCTTCCTGTCTGACCTTTCTGCTTGACCTTCCTGCCTGATCTTTCTGCTTGACCTTCCTGCCTGACCTTTCTGCTTGACCTTCCTGCCTGATCTTTCTGCTTGACCTTCCTGCCTGACCTTTCTGCTTGACCTTCCTGCCTGATCTTTCTGCTTGACCTTCCTGCCTGACCTTTCTGCTTGACCTTCCTGCCTGATCTTTCTGCTTGACCTTCCTGCCTGACCTTTCTGCTTGACCTTCCTGCCTGACCTTTCTGCTTGACCTTCCTGCCTGACCTTCCTGCTTGACCTTCCTGCCTGACCTTCCTGCTTGACCTTCCTGTCTGACCTTTCTGCTTGACCTTCCTGCCTGACCTTTCTGCTTGACCTTCCTGCCTGATCTTCCTGCTTGACCTTCTTGCCTGACCTTCGTGCTTGACCTTCTTGTCTGACCTTCGTGCTTGACCTTCCTGCCAGACCTTTCTGCTTGACCTTCCTGCCTGACCTTTCTGCTTGACCTTCCTGCCTGATCTTCCTGCTTGACCTTCTTGTCTGACCTTCGTGCTTGACCTTCCTGCCTGACCTTTCTGCTTGACCTTCCTGCCTGACCTTTCTGCTTGACCTTCCTGCCTGACCTTTCTGCTTGACCTTCCTGCCTGACCTTTCTGCTTGACCTTCTTGCCTGACCTTCCTGCTTGACCTTCTTATCTGACCTTCCTGCTTGACCTTCCTGTCTGACCTTTCTGCTTGACCTTCCTGCTTGACCATCGGATCGTGGAGGGGCTTTGACTCTTCACGGGGACTTTTTTTCCTTTTTTTGAGATGGAGTTTCACTCTTGTTGCCCGGGCTGGAGTGCAATGGAGGCATCTTGGCTCACAGAAGCCTCCAACTCCCAGGTTCAAGCAATCTGTTGCATCAGACTCACTGTGCTCAGCCTAATTTTGATATTTTATTGAATCCAATGTAGCTAACATATTACTTCAACATTAATTAACATGAGTGAAATTTCTTTTTCTTATCACACTGAGTCTTTGAAATGAGTGGTGTAGGCCACGCACAGTGGCTCGTGCCTGTAATCCCAGCACTTTGGGAGGCCGAGGCAGGAAGCTCACCTGAGGTTAGATGTTCAAAACCAGCCTGGCCGACATGGTGAAACACAGTCTCTACTAAAAATACAAAAAAATTAGCCAGGCGTGGTGGTGGACCTGTAATCCCAGATACTCCAGAGGCTGAGGCAGGATAATCGCTAGAACCCGTAAGGCAGAGGTTGTGGTGAGCTGAGATTACACCATTGCACACTAGCCTGAGCAACAAGAGGAAACTCTGACTCAGAGAGAGAGAGAGAGAGAGAAATTAGTGGTGTATTTTTCTTGTGGCCAAGTCTCTCATCAGGCTCCATTTCACGTGCTCTGTAGCCCCCGTGGCCAGTGCCCCCCTCCCGACATGGGACAGCACAGGTCCAGCGGCCTCCCCAGCAGACAGCAGGCAGGGAACGAGGCCGACCCCAGAGGGCCAGGACACAGCAGGGGCTGAGCATGTCTGGTGAACGAATGCCTGGGAGAATGGATGCCAGAATTCACGCATGAGGCCATGAACAGGGCTAGGAAAACTACCAACAGAAGGGAAGCATGTGTCTTAGTGCACCCGGTGATGCTTCAACAGCATGACTGAGACGGGGAAATTTACAATGAACGGAAATGTGTTGGCTCCAGTTCTGGACTCTGGGAAGTCCAATGTCAAGGCACCAGCAAGTTTCCGGGGCCTGCGAGCTGCATCATCACGTGGGGGTGAAGGTTGTTGGGAGAAACTCAGGGGATGCTGCAGACAGAGCGGCCTGGGATGTGGAGTCACTGCTGCTCCACCACAGGGGACAGAGGAAGCAGGAGTTTAGTCTGACACGCTGCCCCTCCAGCTGGAGGGGAAGAGACAGAGAGAGGGGCTGAAGTCACCCTTGAATAACAACCCCAGTGGTACCCATCCAGTGGAGCCGGCACCCACAGCCTCATAGCCAAGTGTCGGTGCCACCTCTTAAGGCCATTGCAATACCAATTAACACTGAACATGAGCTTTGGAGCAGACAGACTGTCAAGCCAAAGAGGGGGGTTGGAGGAAAGGAGCTTCAATGAAGTTTAGTCTGACACGCTGCCCCTCCAGCTGGAGGGGAAGAGACAGAGAGAGGGGCTGAAGTCACCCTTGAATAACAACCCCAGTGGTACCCATCCAGTGGAGCCGGCACCCACAGCCTCATAGCCAAGTGTCGGTGCCACCTCTTAAGGCCATTGCAATACCAATTAACATTGAACATGAGCTTTGGAGCAGACAGACTGTCAAGCCAAAGAGGGGGGTTGGAGGAAAGGAGCTTCAATGAACAAGATCCCCTGGGCTGTCCTGGCCCCTCCTCCCCCTGCCCCACCCCTGCACTCCTCCTGCTCAGTGTCCCATAGCTTCCCCTGCCCCCTCCTCTTCTCCCAGGTCTATTTGAAGCCTCAACACCACGCAGAGATGAGATTCCTCCATTGGTTCCGAAAGTGGAAGCTGTATAGTGACCAGGAGTACGAGGTCACCTGGTTTGTGTCCTGGAGCCCCTGCCCAGTGTGTGCAAGGAATGTGGCTGAGTTCCTGGCCAGGGACGGGAAGGTCACCCTGACCATCTTCGTGGCCCGCCTCTACTACTTCTGGGACCCACATTACCAGAAGGAGCTTCGCAGACTGTGTCAGAAAAAAAAGAATCCTCATGCCACCATGAAGATCATGAGTTATGGTGGTGAGAAGTAGGGGTTCAGGGGTGTGGGAGGGAGTGCATGAGGGTCTGCGATGGGTGGGTCTGTGATGCCAGCAGAGGCCAAGTGTCCCAGGGGAGCCTGTGGGGTCAGGTCTGGCACTGTCTGTAACTAGCATCCGGGAGTAGGTCTGGGAGGGGAGGGCCCCAGGGTCACAGGAGAGAGGCCAGCTGGGTCTGACTGCGTTCTGTCTTCTTTTTCTCAGAATTTCAACACTGTTGGGACAATTTCGTAAAAAACCAAAGAGAGCCATTCAGGCCTTGGAATGCGCTGCCTAAGCATTATAAGTTACTGCTCATCACCCTGGGGGAGGTTCTCAGGTGAGGGCTCCCTCCGGCCTCATCACCTCTCTCCTCTCAACTCCCGCTCATCCTCCTGAGGCCTCCCCTCTGTCCCAGAGCAGGTCCCCTCCTGGCTGAGCCCTCCTGCCCTCCCTCCTGCCCACTTCCTGCCCTCATGGTCACATCCCCCACCTGCACCCTCACCCTCACCTCTGCTCCCTCCACCTCGCTGTCTCCCCTGCTTTCCTGGGCCCTTCCTGTGAGTGAGAGGCCCCTTCTGCCTCCAGAGTGACCTCCATCTACCCCCAAGGCCACCCTCCCCTCAGCCTGGGAGGCCTAGCCTGCTCCTTCCATCTCCCTGGCATAACCAAATTTGTCATAAATGGGTGTGAATATTCATAAGTCTGACTGTTGGCAGCTTTGAGCAACAGCTTTAAAGCCTGAACTGAGCCCCTGAGAAGGAGCCGCCTTTGTGGAAACAGAGCTTCAGGCTTCGGCTGCCGTAGAAAATGGCCCCGGGCCGGGCACCCACAGGGCAGCTGTTTATTTTCTCACAGATGTGGAGGCTGCAAGTTCAAGGTGGAGCCGTCGGCTGGGTTGTTTCCTCTGAGGCCCGAGGCTGCTCCTCCTGGCTGGCAGGGGTCCCTCCCAGCCATGTCCTCTGTGGCGTTTCCTCTCTGCACCTGCTCCCCTGGTGTCTCTCTGCCTCCAAAGGTCCTCCAGGTTTAGGACCGCAGCCAAGTGAATTTAGGCCCACCCTAGAGGTCTCATTTACATTCATCATCTGATGAAAGGACCTGTCTCCAGGCTGGGTGCAGAGGTTCATGCCTGTAATCCCAGTACTCTGGGAGTGTGAGGCGGGTCTACCTGAGGTCAGGGGTTCGAGATCAGCCTGGCCAACTTGGCCAAGCCCCGTCTCTACCAAAAATACAACTAGCCAGGCTGGTAGTGTAAGCCCGTAATCCCAGCTACTGGAGGCTCAGGCAGGAGAATGGCTTGAACCCAGGAGGCAGAAGTTGCAGTGAGTCCAGACTGTGGCACCGCACTCCAGCCTGGGGGAAAGATCGAAACTTCTCAAACAAAAAAGAAAGGACCTGTTTTCAAAGCCACACTTTGAGGCAGTGGGGGTTGGGACTTCAATATGTGGATTTTGGGGAGAAACAGTGCAGCCCATGGCAACATGCAGTCATTGTGGGTCGGCCTGGGGGACGAGGGAGGGGTTCCTGTCCTGTGTGTGTGTCTCCCAGGGGGTCCTGACCTGACCCTCACAGCCCCTCCACCCAGACCTTCCTGCGTGCTCCACCCACCCCATTCCTCCTGCACCCCACACTCCTGAGCTGCTCCTTAGCCCCGACAGGCTCCCTGCCCCTGGCTGCTCCTCTTGTCACTCTCTCCGGGCCTCTTTAGGGGTCCCCACGTGACCCCTCAGCTGATGCCCATGGCTTCCCCAGCCAGACTCCTCCCGGTCCCAGGCTCTGCAGAGTCCCATCAGCGGTCACGTCCTCCCCTCTGTCCAGTCCGGGGAGAAGCCCTGGCGCTTCTGTGTTGGAAGAGCCTCTGCACTGGGCGCTGAGAGTTCACTTTTCTTTTCAAAATGTGTGGTCTTGTGAGGACACGTGTTTTTTGGGCAACAGAAGAATCCTGTGAATTATCCAAAAACAGTCCCTAGCAGGCTCTCCTGCTGGTCCCACTCAGGAGCGTCTCTGCCCCAATGCTGGGTGTGGTAATATTAACCCTGCTTGCAGGAGGGAAGCCCCAGAGGGTCCATCTCCAGCAGGGACTGAGGGTGAGCAGAGCCAGGACTGGGTTGCATGGTGAGGCCAGGGAAGGAGACCCAGCTCTAGCTCAGGGAGAGGGGCAGGGGCCTCCCCAGAGGGTCTGAGCACACGGAGCTGACCCTGGGAGACCCTGACAAGGCCCCGACAGGCCCCAGGGCTACAGGGATGTCCCAGTGAGCCCCAGGAGGGGCCCCCTCAGAGGAGGAGGTTTGGAGATTCCAGCACGTGAGCGGGAGCCCCTCCTGAGCGGTGGGTGCCAAGGGATGTGGGGAGCAGGGGGAAGGAATTTGGGGTGCCTGAGGGAAAGCGTGAGGAGGGAGGGGGAGGCGGGGCAGTCCAGGAGGGCTCTTACTTTTCTGGGCTTTTCTCCCGCTGTCCACAGACACCTGATGGATCCAGGCACATTCACTTACAACTTTACCAATGACCCTTTGGTCCTTGGACGGCACCAGACCTACCTGTGTTACGAGGTAGAGCACCTGCACAGTGGCACCTGGGTCCCGCTGCACCAGCACAGGGGCTTCATACTCAACGAGGTGATCACCAAACACCCGCATCCACGCAGGGCCCTCCCCACCGAGGGACACACATGCCTAGAAGGTTCCGGGTGGGACCTGTGGGGTCCCTCAGACTGTCTGACCTGTGCTTCCTGCACTGCTGCTGCTTGGGCCTGGGGTTCAGGGAGACCTCGGCTTCAGTGACTCTCCAGGATCAGCAGCTTCCAGCCCCACATACCTAACCGGCCATGTGTCTCGGGGGCACCACTAGTCCAGAGTCACCCCCGGGTCCAGGGCTCAGCCATCCCCCCTCCTGCTGTCCTCTGAGAGGGTCCGGGCAGAGGAAAAGGGTCTGCACCAGGGCCAGGTGCGGTCAAAGGCAAAGCGCTTCCTGAGACCCTCCCAGGATCCCTCCCAGACGCAACTCCCACCAGGAATCATTAGAACGGTGGGATTTGAGGGCTCAGGGCCTCCCTGACCTCACAAGGCCAGGATTCCCCAGTGCCTGCTCCTGGGCTACATCCCGTGGGGAGAGAGACTGAGGCAGGAAAGGCCGATCAGGGATTCTTTCCTGACCAGGGTGGAGCCCACAGCAAGGCCAGAACAGGCCCACATCAGGATGCAGGGATGGCCAGCATTTGGGGAGGAGCCGGGACAGGCCAGGCCAAGGGGCCCTGAGCCCGAGGGATGATCTTCCCTGGCCCCCGCCCGGCACAGCCCCTGGTTAGAGAGGCCTGATTCCGCTCAGCTCTGGTGCTAGACATGGCGGCTCCTACGGGCTTTATGAGCTCAATGTAGGCCCTGCTGGGCCCACACACACTGCTTGGAAGCTACTTTTTAGGTCTCCACACCGCCTATCCCGTGGGACAGGACTCCCCCCAGAATGACCCACAGCCCCTTCTCAGCACAGATCGTGTCCTCCCTTCTCCCCCGAGTCCTCTCCACACTGGCCTCCTGGGCTTCACTAGTTCCTCATCGAAATGGAAAATCCTGCACTTGTGTTTGGACAAAATGCCATAATTCCTTGGGCTCAACAAGGACAGTCACCCCATGACTGGGGCCTTCCCCATTTGGGGTTAATCCTACTGGGAGCTCCTCATCCCCATTTCTCCCTGCAAAGCGAGCCCTCTGGCCTCAGTCTATGTCATCCTTAGACTCAATACAGGGGGAAGCTTCTAGAATTATAGGTCACAGAAGGGGTGGGCTGAGATGAAACGATGGGTATAGAGGTCAGTCTCCCCACAAGGGATTCAGACGCAGCTCAACGGCATCTGTCCTCCCTCCCCTAGCTCTGCAGCCCCTCCCTGAAGGGGCCCTGAAGAGAGGGTCCTGAAGGCACTGACCTCAGGTCCAAAATGAGACCATGCTCCAAAAACTCGGTATCAGAGAAATCCCTTCACAATGTCAAATAAAAGTAATGCATCATTTTCAAAATCAGGTTGGGTGTGGTGGCTCACACCTGTAATCCCAGCAGTTTGGGAGGCCAAGGCGAGAGCATCACTTGAGGTCAGGAGTTCAAGATCAGCCTGGCCACCATGGTGAAACCCCGTCTCTACTAAAAATATAAAAATTAGCGAGGCATGGTGGCGCGTGCCTGTAGTCCCAGCTATTGGGTAGGCTGAGGCACAAGAATCGCTTCAACCCAAGAGGTGGAGGTTGCAGTGAGCTGAGATCGCACCATTGCACTCTAGCCTTGGAGACAGAACCAGACTCTTTGTCTCTCAAAAAAAAAAAAAAAAAAAAAAGAAAAGAAAAGAAGAAGAAGAAAATAAAATCATCTTGATAACTAGGGTTTGGTGCCCCTTCTAATCTTGTGTTGGAGGCTGCCCCGCACCCAGCCTCTCTGATCCGGGCTGTCCCTCCCTGCTCACAAAAGACGCCTCACACCTTGCTTTCTTTTCTAGGCTTCAAATAGTCTCAGTTTCCCTGAAGGCCGCCATGCAGAGCTGTGCCTCCTGGATCTGATTTTGTTTTGGAAGCTGGACCCGGCCCAGCGCTACAGGGTCACCTGCTTCATCTCCTGGAGCCCCTGCTTCTGCTGTGCCGAGAAGGTGGCTGAATTCCTTCAAGAGAACCCACACGTGAACCTGCGCATCTTCGCTGCCCGCATTTATGATTATTGCCCAGGACATGAGGAGGGGCTGCGCAGGCTGGACAGAGCTGGGGCCCCAATTTCCATGATGAAATACAGTGGTGAGAATGGAAGCCTGGAGTGGGGTGGGGTCAGCCGGGGCAGGAGAGGGCCCTCGGGAGTTACTAGAAAGTGGGGAGGGCGGGCATCCCTGGGGGAGAGGCCTTGGGCTGCTGCCTGCATAGGTGAGGGCTGCACACTGGGCCTGACTTTGGGGTCTATGGGAAGAGAGAGGCCAGGCCAGGAGATGGGGGCGCAGGGTGGGAAGAGAGGGTGGCTGGAAGTGGAAGAGGGACTTAGGACTTCCAGAAACAGTGAGACCTGGGCTGGCTCCGATTCCAATGGGAAGGAAGTGCCTGATGAAGGAGGGAAGTCCCTAGGGGAGGCGGAGGGAAAGGAGGGACTCAAACCAGCATGTGGGAGTCTGTCCTGAGAGTCAGGGCCCTAGGTGCCTCCCCCTCCCCAAAGGGGAATGGGACTTATCTCCCCTGTCCCGTTTCAGAGTTTAGTCACTGCTGGGACACCTTTGTGGATCACCGCAGACGCCGCTTCAAACCCTGGGAGGACCTAAATGAGCACAGCCAAGCCCTGAGTGGGAGGCTGCAGGCCATTCTCCAGGTGAGGGCCTCCTCCCTCTGCCCAGTGCCCCATGGGCCTCCCCTCCTCCCCTCTTCCCCTGGGCCTTGCCTTTTCCTCTGCTCAGAGCCTCCTCTGGGTTCCCTGCTCCCCCCAGGGCGCCCAGCTCTGTCTCTCCCTTTCCTCCTCACAGCCTCCCTCTCTCTCCCACCTCCTCCATCCCCCGCTGCCGTCATTGTCCCCGGTCCCCAGGCCTCCTCCTGTGCCCTCTTTCCACTCTCTCACTCCCTGCTCCATTCAACTCCCCTGCTCTTCCTGAATCAGAGAAACTGATGGATGAGCCTTAGTCTCTAAGGAAGGCAGAGACCTGGGCTGAGCATCGGAATAAAAGATCTTCCAAGAAATACAACCAGGCCGTTCACCGCCATCTCCAGCTGATCACAGACGCCAGCAAAGCAATTCGCTCCTGACAAGTAGATTATTTTAAAAATTAGAGCGAATTACTTTTAATAAAAAATGTATGTGATATTTCAAGAATACAGTAGTGAGATTGTGCTCAATACTCTCAGAAAGGTTTCAAACCTACTCATCCAGTGACAATTTGAATTGGCTTTATATGTAGAGGAATAAAATGAAATACTATTTTTTTTTTTTTTTTTTGAGACAGTGTCTCACTTTGTCACCCAGGCTGGAATGCAATGGCATGATCTCAGCTCACTGCAACTTCTGCCTCCCAGGTTCAAGCGATTCTCTGGCCTCAGCCTCCCGAGTAGCTAGGACTACAGGCACATGTCACCATGCCTGGCTAATTTTTGCATTTTAGTAGAGATGGCGTTTCACCTTGTTGGCCATGATGGTCTCGATTTCCTGACCTCATGATCTGCCCGCCTCGGCCTCCCAAAGTGCTGGGATTACAGGTATGAGCCACCACGCCCGGCCTAAATCCACCCTTTATAAGGACATCAGACATATTGAATTAGGAACCACCCCAATGACCTCATCCACCATGCCTGGCCTTTCTTTCTTCTTTTTTTTTTTTTTTTTTTGAGACGGAGTTTCGCTCTTGTTACCCAGGCTGGAGTGCAATGGTGCGATCTCGGCTCACCGCAACCTCCGCCTCCTGGGTTCAGGCAATTCTCCTGCCTCAGCCTCCTGAGTTGGGATTATGGGCATGCGCCACCATGCCCAGCTAATTTTTTTATTTTTTATTTTCAGTAGAGACGGGGTTTCACCACGTTGACCAGGATGGTCTCCATCTCTTGACCTCGTGATCCACCCACCTCAGACTCCCAAGGTGCTGGGATTACAGGCATGAGCCACCGCGCCCAGCCATGGCCTTTCTTATATTGGAGACTTATGTATGTAAAAGCTAAGCTATGTCTACATGAGGGCGAGCTGACAGTGTGACAAGATTTATTACTTTGTTGATACAAAGAAAGTTATCCAGGGCCAGGCGTGGTGACTCATGCCTGTAATCCCAGCACTGTGGGAGGCCAAGGTGGGTCAATCACCTGAGGTCAGGAGTTTGAGACCAACCTGGCCAACATGGTGAAACCCCATCTCTACTAAAATACAAACATTAGCTGGGAATGGTGGCAGGTGCCTGTAATCCCAACTACTCGAGAGGCTGAGGCAGGAGAATTGCTTGAACCTGGGAGGCAGAGGTTTTAGTGAGCCGAGATTGAGCCACTGCCCTTCAGCCTGATCTAGGGAATTTAGTTTGACATCAAGTACACGAAAGCACAATAAATGCACTGATGGGAAGCGAAGTACGTGCTTACCAGGGAGGATGATCGCTTTCTCCAAATGAGGGTGAAATCACCTCTTTTAAACTTGTCGAGGTGCAAACCTCACAGCCCAGGTCAACAGGAGGAAAATAACACTCCTAGGCCGGGTGTGGTGGCTCTGCACTTTGGGAAGCTGAGGCTGGTGAATCACAAGGTCAGGAGTTCAAGACCAGCCTGGCCAATATGGTGAAATCCTGTCTCTACTAAAAATATAAAAATTAGCCAGGCATGGTGGCAGGTGCCTGTGATCCCAGCTACTCCAGAGGCTGAGTCAGGAGAATTACTGGAACCCGGGAGGCAGAGGTTACAGTGAGCCAAGGTCACACCACTTTACTCCAGCCTTGGTGACAGGGTGAGACTCTGTCAAAAACAAAACAAAACAGAAAAACCCTCCTCCTAACAGGAAATCTTCCAAACAGAAGGGGGAAAGACCTCTCCCAACCTTATCCAAAATAAAACAGAATGCAAACCCAATTCTGGAGTTTTGTTCAAGAAAGATCTACCAGGGGGCTGAGGGGTTACCAGTGTGGATTCCTCCCACCATAGTTCTGTGGGCTGGCGATTCCTCTGGAGGGTCCCACTTCTGGCATCATGTATGTCAAAGGCAAAACCGTGGAGAGGAATCTCTAAATCGAATGTTTCATTTCTGTGGGAAGTAGACAAGTTCATTTTTAAAGTTTCCCTTCCTGTTGAAAAATAAGTGTGCTGATAACTCTTTGTTAAGCCGTACCCTATGTAGCTGTTAGACATGCCATGCTGACAGGCACGTAGTACATTCTACGTCCTGGCACTTTAACCAGGATATCTGTGCCGGAAGTGCTTGCTCACAGGCATGTCCCGCCTCTCCATTGCTTTTACCTGTTTGGAAAAGTTTTAAGTTATTAGCCAACTGGGTTTTAGTTTAGATTGTGAGGTCTGGCTCCAGCCAATGGAGATCAGACACAGCAGTAAGGATGACCCCAAATGCTTAAAAAAAAAAAAAATTATATGTTTTCCTTTGTTCGTTGTACTCTCATGGCAAGATGGCTAGTGAGAGTACCCTTTCTGCAGTCCAGGAAGTAAAATTGCGTTGCTGAACATTCCTTTGTCTTAGTGCTCGTTTTTCTTTGCAGCACCAATCATCCATTTCCAACAGTTTGGGAAGAAGAATTGCAATTCCGCATGTACCTGAGGAACAAAGGGAAGGTTGAAGATTTTATAACAAGGAGAAATACTTCTGTTCCTCTTTCAGAAAGTTCATGGGCCCTAGGAAGGTTGGGAGCTGGCAGGTTCCATTGATGAGCCACTGCGGTAGGCATCGTGAGTTCAAGAGTGGCAGCAGTTTATCTCAGAGGTTGTAGGTGAAGCTGGTTTCAGGGCATGGGATGAGCAGTTTCAGCCATCAGGCTCGTGGAAGCCATGTTCTGTAGCCTGAGCGCTTTCCCCTCTTGGCTCCTGGCCTCTGTTTTAGTTGGGCAAGACGGGAATGACCTAATGCTTAGCATCCGTTCTTACAAAAGATGTTTCTCAAAACCCAACTTTCACATTTATGTATATTTCTACTACCCATTTATATTCAGTTCACTGACAAGATTCAAGTATGTTGGGGAGATGGTAGGAGCCAGGCTAGCCGGCCCCAGGATGGGAGGAAGGAGTCTGGGGATGGTGGATGGAGGTTGCTCTGGAGGCAGAAAGCAGCCTCTCACTGGCAGGTTGGGAAAGTGTGGAGGAGGCAGCAAGGTGTTGGGCACTGAGGGGCGGTACTCAGGGCAGGAGCAGCTCAGAAGGCCCAGGTAGGGGTGAATCTGGTACGGGACAGAGGGAAGGCATCAGGAGGCTGAGCAGGAGCCAAGAGGAGCGAGGGGATCAGCTGTGAGGCTACGCTTCAGCTTGGGGACCAGAGATGGGTAGCTTTCATGCAGTGTCATGCGAGGCTGACGTGGCTCATCTCTCTTGTACACGGTCTTCCCAACAGTGTTTAAATTCTGAGATAAAAGAGGGAAGAAGGCAGTCAGGCTCAGCAGGCCTCTCTCCCTGACCCTGGGCCCACCCTTCCCAGGAGTGATCTCACGGCTGTCAGTGCTGGCTCAGTCCCTGCAGGCTCCCCTGAGACATTGTCCCAATGGCATCCCAGACTCCCCTGCCCCTCATGCTGTTCCTCCCTCCAGCACACTCCTCAGGCCCCAACCTCTCACCCTGTTTTTTTTTTTTTTGAGTTGGAGTTTTGCTCTTGTTGCCCAGGCTGGAGTGCAATGGCATGATCTCAACTCACTGAAACCTCCGTCTCCCAGGTTCAAGTGATTCTCCTGCCTCGGCATCCTCAGCCTCCCCAGAAGCTGGGATTACAGGCATGTGCCACCATGCCTGGCTAATTTTGTATTTTTAGTAGAGACAGGGGTTTCTCCATGTTGGTCAGGCTGGTCTTGAACTCCTCACCTCAGGTGATCCGCCCATCTCAGCCTCCCGTAGTGCTGGGATTATAGGCGTGAGCCACCACGCCTGACCCCCTCACCCTTAGAAGACATGATCTGCACACATTCCCCTTTGTCATGCAGTCTGTGAAGCCCATGTTGGAATCATGGTGGGTCACAGTCATGGTGAAGGTGGGCAGGGAAGATGCTCAGCCTCACTTGGTTTTGCTCGGCTTCTAGTAGACTCACACTCTCAACACACAGTCCAGGTGGGGCTCCAGGATATGACCCAGGCGACTTGGTAGCACTTGCTGGGAGGCAGGGCGTTGCAGATCACGACAGGGAGCACATTTCCGCAGTGAGACTGGCTACTTTTGCCATTTCTCACTTCAACATCAAGGAGAGAAGATGCCTGTGGCAGCGGCTCCCGCCTGCGATCCCGGTACGTTGGGAGGCTGACGCAAGAGGATCACCTGAGCCTAGAAATGTAAGATCAACCTGAATAACATAGAAAAACCCCATCCCTGCTAAAACACACACACACACACACACACACACGCACACACACAGAAATTAGCTGGGTGTAGCATGCCTGTAGTCCCAGCTACTTGGGAGACTGAGATGGGAAGATTGCTTAAGTCTGGGAGGTTGAGGCTGCAGCCTGGGTGACAGAGCAAGACCCTGTCTCAAAAAAATACATAAATAAATAGAAGGGGAGATGGATGTCTACAGGCAAACAGGCTCACTGCTGACATAGACCTCTAAAGGGTTGTGCCTTGGCCCTTCCGTTCCTCTCTGCTCAGGGCCACCCTCCCACTCAGGATGCCCTGGAGGACTCAGACGCCTTCTGGGTTCGCGGAACCCTCTGACAGGCAAGGCCACATCCTTCCGTCCTGCAGACTCAGGGCCCTGTTAGAAGGGATGTAACTCGGAAAAGGTGCCAGACTCTTGCCCACCTCCCCCTCGCTCCCTCAGAAAACGCTGTGTACCGTTAGGCAGGTGTGGGGGCAATGCGTTCAGACTTTGACACAGAGGCCATTTTACACCTGGCCCAGATGGCTCTCTGGGAAGCAATGCCTGCCTGGGGTGGTGAGGGCTGGAGAAGGGAGTGGGAAGAGGACAGTGCCCCACCCTGGAGGGAGGCAGAGGTACAGACCCTGAGGGGCAGCAAGAGCCTTCCATGGCCACCCATCCTGAGCCTGCGAGTGCCAAAACCAGAACGCTGCTGGTGGCATCAGCTCCCTGAGGGCTTCCTGGGTGGAGGGGCTGAAGCCAACCTTGGGCACAGGGAGTCTGCTATGACATCGGGAAGCTTGACCCAGGGGGAGGAGGAGACTCAGATTGGCCCAATGCCTGGTGCGGCCAGGCCTTTTTCACATCCAGCCCCCACTGCCCTCCAAGTGCAGAGTTGAGAGGGAGGTATCATTGCCCCCACTCTACAGATGAGTAAAGAGGTTTCAGGGGAGGCGATGTGCCTGGGGACCTGACAGTGGCAGGCACAGTGGGCTCTTAGACCCAGGCTCACCTGCCCACATACCAGTGCAATGGTCCCTACTCTCCAGGTCCCCATAGAAGTGTGTGGAGCCATCACTGCCTGCCCCAAAGTGACACAGAGGGTCACAGTCTCTGCCCAGGGTTTTCTGATTGGCACAGGGCAAACCCGATGGTGGGCATTGTTGCTCCGTGTGTGGGCATGGGCCTATGCCAGGCCATCTCCCCCAGCCCTGCTCCTGGCAGGCCCTGGACCACCCCCACCTCCATCTCAGTCTTCCCACCCAGGGAACTGGGCCACTGCACCCTGGCCAGCTCCTTGAAACACACCAGCGTCTTGATGAAGCAACAACTTTCCCTGTGATCTCTGGATGATCGTTCACTCTCCCATAGGTAGAAAATGTGAAAGACAGCCAGGCGCAGTGGCTCATGCCTGTAATCCCAGCACTTTGGGAGGCTGAGGTGGGTGGATCACGAGGTCAGGGGTTCAAGACCAGCCTGGCCAACATGGTGAAACCTCATCTCTACTACAAAAAAGAAAATAGCTGGATGTGGTGGCTCACACCTGTAATCCGAGCTCCTCAGGAGGCTGAGGTAGAGAATTGCTTGAACCTGGGAGGTTGAGGTTGCAGTGGGTCAAGCTCGTGCCACTGGGCAGCAGAGCAAGAATCCGTCTGCCCCCAAAAAAAGAAAAAGAAAATTTGAAAGACAAAAGTGGTAGATTTGGAAATCTATGTTTGTTCTGAGGGAAGGTAGGGTAGGGGATGATATTCACCAGGAACTGCCTAGAATCCTGATCTCATTCCTTTGGACTTTCCCAGGAACAGCTCGGTGCAGCCTCTGCCATTCTGTCCAACCGTTAGACTGCCGTGCCCTCCATGCTGGGATCCTGAGGGGTTTGTTTTATTTGCTAAGTGGGGTGGAGTGGGTGGCAAAATGTCCAGCAAAAAAATTCTCCTTTTTCCCTGAGCACAATGCAGCAAAATTTCATCATGATGAGGTCGGGTGCGGTGGCTCATACCTGTAATCCCAACACTTTGGGAGGCCGAGGCGGGTGGATCACGAGGTCAAGAGATCGAGACCATCCTGGCCAACATGGTGAAACCGTGTCTCTACTAAAAATACAAAAGTTAGCTGGGCGTGGTGGCACCTGCCTGTAGTCCCAGCACCTCGGGAGGCTGAGGCAGGAGAATCGCTTGAACCGGGGTGGCAGAGATTGCAGTGAGCTGAGATTGCAACTCTGCACTCCAGCCTGGTGACAGAGCCAGATTCCGCCTCAAAAAAAAAAAAAAACAAAAAAGTTCATCATGATTGCTCATGACAGACACAGCCTGGGGTCTAGGATCAGATCTAAAACTAGTATTCATGGCTGGGCAGTGGAGGCTCGTGCCTGTAATCCCAGCACTTTGGGAGGCCAGGCAGGCAGATCACTTGAGGTCAGGAGTTTGAGATCAGCCTGGACAATAGTGGTGAAACCCCATCTCTACTAAAACTACAAAAATTAGCTGGGCATGGTGGCGCACACCTACAATCCCAGCTACTCGGGAGGCTGAGGCAGGAGAATCCCTTGACCCTGGGAGGCAGAGGTTGCAGTGAGCCAAGATCGCACCATTACTCTTTAGCCTAAGTGACAGAGCAAGACTCCATCTTAAAAAAAAAAAAGACAAACACTTCACTGTAAAATGCTTGTAGATGATGCTGATAAAACACTGTACATCCCGGAGACGCTTTGAGGTACAGGTGACAGGTGTACTTAAAAGCATCTCTGGGATGCACAGTGTTTTACCAGCATCATCTACAGGCGTTATCTCCTGCGGACCGACAGCCCCACCCCTATTTTGGCCCGTGCAACACTGAGTGAAAATGAAAGACCCCACATCCTGCTGGAGTTTCCGCTGGAGCCCAGGAAAGGTCACCAGGGACAGGAAGGAGCTGGTTCCCCTTGTGGGCAGCAGGGATGGGTGCAGGGAGAATGGCCGCCTTCACAGGTGCAGGCATTGACTGAGATTCACCCTGGTCCCCTGTAAGCGGGGAGGAGGCAGGTGCCCAGCAGGGATTCAGACTATTGAGGGACAGAGCAGAGCAGAGGGACCCTGGGCAGGTGCTGGGATACACAGCCCAGGTCACCCTGGGACCAGAATGGAGGTCCCGCTGAGGTCTGGAGTCCATGCTGCTCTGTACTGAGGTCCCTGCTCTGCCACCACTGTGGGGCCCCAACCCCCCACAGCCCAGAGGACCACAGGCTGCCAGTTCCCAGCCCAGCTCTCAGCAGTGTCATGGGGCTGTGTCCAGTCCCCTTCCCAGGACCCACTGTGAGTGGAGGCCCAGGGAACAGGGGGCCTGGGTCCTGGGGAAGTGGGGTCCTGGGGGCCGGGGCAGGTCTCCCTGGGACCCGCCTTGTTGTGCTAGCCTAACTGACTGCATCTTAGCTCTAAGCCTGACAAGCTTTCTCTAGCTCTCCCTCCCTGCCACAGCCCCTCAGGTCACGCTGTGCTCAGAGCTTTGAACCGTTGAGGTTTGGGTCCAGGTTGGGTCATGCTGTTCTCAGTACCTGTAACCATTGTAACTGCATCCAGACTTGGCAAGTCCACCCGCTATTGTGAATAACACCCCCTTGGTGACTGTATGGAAAGTATCTGAATACCCCCTTTGGTAACCAACAATTATGGGAACACTCCTGCCTCCTGGTTACCAGCCTTCCTCTCTAACCTGCTTGTTCTGCTGCTGTGAAATTTTGCTTCAGCTAGACTCCCCCTCCCATGTCATACACAAGGTACAAAAAGTAATCGAGCCCCTTCTTCAGGCCGAGAGAATTTTGAGCATTAGCTATCTCTCGGTCGCCGGCAATAAGAGGACTCCTGCTTGAATCTCAGAGTGTGGCACTTTCTCTATAACTCGTTCGGTTACAACACTGTGACATGACTAACTGTGGGGTTCCTTCACCAGGGTCAGGCCCTCTGGCCTCCCCTCCATGGCCCCTTTGCCCAGAATGACCACACATTTTTTATCACTCTCCTGTGGGCTTTAGCTGAGTTTTCTGGCTCCAGAGGGATGTAGTGTGACCTTTGCCCCATTACAGGCCCACTACAAAAGGAAAGACAGTTACACATTTGCTAATATTTATGTAAACACTTGCAAGTCATGATACACTCACAGAAGGAAACATATGAAAATATTTAGTATTTCATTGTATTCCTCTACATATAAAATCGATTCAAATTGTCACTGGATTAGTAGGTTTGAAACTTTTCTGAATGTATTGAGCACACTCTTACTACTATAGCACATAAATTTTCGATTAAAGGTAATTCACTCTAATTTAAAAAATAATCTACTTGTCAGGAGCGAATTGCTTTGCTGGCGTCTGTGATCAGCTGGAGATGGCGGTGAATAGCCTGGTTGCATTTCTTGGAAGAAGATCTTTTATTCCGCTGCTCAGCCCAGGTCTCTGCCTTCCTTAGAGACTGAGGATCATTCATCAGTTTCCCTGATTCAGGAAGAGCAGGGGAGTTGAATGGAGCAGGGGGTGAGAGAGTGGAAAGAGGGCACAGGAGGAGGCCTGGGGACAGGGACAATGATGGGAGAGGAGAGGGGGATGGAGGAGGTGGGAGAGAGAGGGAGGCTGTGAGGAGGAAAGGGAGAGACAGCATTGGGCGCCCTGGGGGGAGCAGGGAACCCAGAAGAGGCTCTGAGCAGAGGGGAAGGCAAGGCCCAGGGGAGGAGGGGAGGAGGGGAGGCCCATGGGGCACTGGGCAGAGGGAGGAGGCCCTCACCTGGAGAATGGCCTGCAGCCTCCCACTCAGGGCTTGGCTGTGCTCATTTAGGCCCTCCCAGGGCTCGAAGCGGCATCTGTGGTGATCCACAAAGGTGTCCCAGCAGTGACTAAACTCTGAAACGGGACAGGGGAGATAAGTCCTGTTCCCCTGTGGGGAGAGAGAGGCACCCAGGGCCCTGACTCTCAGGACAGACGCCCACATGCTGGTTTCAGTCCCTCCTTTCCCTCTCCCTCCCCTAGGGACTTCCTTCCTTCATCAGGCACTTCCTTCCCATTGGAATCGGAGCCAGCCCAGATCTCATTGTTTCTGGAAGCCCCAAGTCTGTCTTCCACTTGCAGCCACCCTCCTTGCCATTCCCATGCCGCCATCTCCTGGCCTGGCCTCTCCCCCAGGGATGCCCACCCTCCCCACTATCTAGTAACTCCCAAGGGCCCTCTCCTGCCCCGGCTGACCCCACCCCACTCCAGGCTTCCATTCTCACCACTGTATTTCATCATGGAAATTGGGGCCCCAGCTCTGTTCAGCCTGCGCAGGCCCTTTTTATATCCTCGTTGATAACCATAGATGCGGGCAGCGAAGATGCGCAGGTTCACGTGTGGGTTCTCTTGAAGGAATTCAGCCACCTTCTCGGCACAGCAGAAGCAGGGGCTCCAGGAGATGAAGCAGGTGACCCTGTAGCGCTGGGCCGGGTCCAGCTTCCAAAACAAAATCAGATCCAGGAGGCACAGCTCTGCATGGCGGCCTTCAGGGAAACCCGGATTATTTGAAGCCTAGAAAAGAAAGCAAGGTGTGCGGTGTCTTTTGTGAGCGGGGAGGGACAGCCCAGATCAGAGAGGCTGGGTGTGGGGCAGCCTCCAGCACAAGATTAGAAGGGGCACCAAACCCTAGTTATCAAGATGATTTCATTTTCTTCTTCTTCTTTTCTTTTCTTTTTTTTTTTTTTTTTTGAGAGACAAAGAGTCTGGTTCTGTCTCCGAGGCTAGAGTGCAATGGTGCGATCTCAGCTCACTGCAACCTCCACCTCTTGGGTTGAAGCGATTCTTGTGCCTCAACCTACCCAATAGCTGGGACTACAGGCACGCGCCACCATGCCTCGCTAATTTTTATATTTTTAGTAGAGACGGGGTTTCACCATGGTGGCCAGGCTGATCTTGAACTCCTGACCTCAAGTGATGCTCTCGCCTTGGCCTCCCAAACTGCTGGGATTACAGGTGTGAGCCACCACACCCAACCTGATTTTGAAAATGATGCATTACTTTTATTTGACATTGTGAAGGGATTTCTCTGATACCGAGTTTTTGGAGCATGGTCTCATTTTGGACCTCAGGTCAGTGCCTTCAGGACCCTCTCTTCAGGACCCCTTCAGGGAGGGGCTGCAGAGCTAGGGGAGGGAGGACAGATGCCGTTGAGCTGCGTCTGAATCCCTTGTGGGGAGACTGACCTCTATACCCATCGTTTCCCCTCAGCCCACCCCTTCTGTGACCTATAATTCTAGAAGCTTCCCCCTGTATTGAGTCTAAGGGTGACATAGACTGAGGCCAGAGGGCTCCCTTTGCAGGGAGAAGTGGGGATGAGGAGCTCCCAGTAGGATTAACCCCAAATGGGGTTAAGGCCCCAGTCATGGGGTGACTGTCCTTGTTGAGCCCAAGGAATTATGGCATTTTGTCCAAACACAAGTGCAGGATTTTCCATTTCGATGAGGAACTGGTGAAGCCCAGGACGCCAGTGTGGAGAGGACTCGGGGGAGAAGGGAGGACACGATCTGTGCTGAGAAGGGGCTGTGGGTCATTCTGGGGGGACTCCTGTCCCATGGGATAGGCGGTGTGGAGACCTAAAAAGTAGCTTCCAAGCAGTGTGTGTGGGCCCAGCAGGGCCTACAATGAGCTCATAAAGCCCAGAGGAGCCCCCATGTCTAGCACCAGAGCTGAGCGGAATCAGGCCTCTCTAACCAGGGGCTGTGCTGGGCGGGGGCCGGGGAAGATCATCCCTCGGGCTCAGGGCCCCTTGGCCTGTCCTGTCCCGGCTCCTCCCCAAATGCTGGCCATCCCTGCATCCTGATGTGGGCCTGTTCTGGCCTTGCTGTGGGCTCCACCCTGGTCAGGACAGAATCCCTGATTGGCCTCTCCTGCCTCAGTCTCTCTCCCCACGGGATGTAGCCCAGGAGCAGGCACTGGGGAATCCTGGCCTTGTGAGGTCAGGGAGGCCCTGAGCCCTCAAATCCCACCGTTCTAATGATTCCTGGTGGGAGTTGCGTCTGTGAGGGATCCTGGGAGGGTCTCAGGAAGCGCTTTGCCTTTGACCCCACCTAGCCCTGGTGCAGACCCTTTTCCTCTGCCTGGACCCTCTCAGAGCACAGCAGGAGGGGGGATGGCTGAGCCCTGGACCCGGGGGTGACTCTGGACTAGTGGTGCCCCCAAGACACATGGCCGGTTAGGTATGTGGGGCTGGAAGCTGCTGATCCTGGAGAGTCGCTGAAGCCGAGGTCTCCCTGAACCCCAGGGCCAAGCAGCAGCAGTGCAGGAAGCACAGGTGACAGCCAGCCTGCGGACCCCACGGGTCCCACCCAGAACCTTCTAGGCATGTGTGTCCCTCAGTGGGGAGGGCCCTGCGTGGATGCGGGTGTTTGGTGATCACCTCGTTGAGTATGAAGCCCCTGTGCTGGTGCAGCGGGACCCAGGTGCCACTGTGCAGGTGCTCCACCTCGTAACACAGGTAGGTCTGGTGCCGTCCAAGGACCGAAGGGTCATTGGTAAAGTTGTAAGTGAATGTGTCTGGATCCATCAGGTGTCTGTGGACAGCGGGAGAAAAGCCCAGAAGAGTAAGAGCCCTCCTGGACTGCCCCGCCTCCCCCTCCTTCCCCACGCTTTCCCTCAGGCACCCCAAATTCCTTCCCCCTGCTCCCCACATCCCTTGGCACCACTCAGGAGGGGCTCCCGCTCACGTGCAGGAATCTCCAAACCTCCCTCTGAGGGGGCGCCTTCTGGGGCTCACTGGGACATCCCTGTAGCCCTGGGGCCTGTCGGGGTCTTGTCAGGGTCTCCCAGGGTCAGCTCTGTGTGCTCAGACCCTCTGGGGAGGCCCCTGCCCCTCTCTCTGAGCTAGAGCTGGGTCTCCTACCCTGGCCTCACCATGCAACCCAGTCCTGGCTCTGCTCACCCTCAGTCCCTGCTGGAGATGGACCCTCTGGGGCTTCCCTCCCGCAAGCGGGGTTAATATTACCACACCCAGCATCGGGGCAGAGATGCTCCTGAGTGGGACCAGCAGGAGAGCCTGCTAGGGACTGTTTTTGGATAATTCACAGGATTTTCTTCTGTTGCCCAAAAAACACGTGTCCTCACAAGACCACACATTATGAAAATAGAAGTGAACTCTCAGCCCCAGTGCAGAGGCTCTTCCAACACAGAAGCACCCAGTGCAGAGGCTCTTTCAACACAGAAGCGCCAGTGCAGAGGCTCTTCCAACACAGAAACCCCAGTGCAGAGGCTCTTCCAACACAGAAGCACCCAGTGCAGAGGCTCTTCCAACACAGAAGCACCCAGTGCAGAGGCTCTTCCAACACAGAAGCCCCAGTGCAGAGGCTCTTCCAACACAGAAGCACCCAGTGCAGAGGCTCTTCCAACACAGAAGCCCCAGTGCAGAGGCTCTTCCAACACAGAAGTGCCCAGTGCAGAGGCTCTTCCAACACAGAAGCCCCAGTGCAGAGGCTCTTCCAACACAGAAGCGCCAGGGCTTCTCCCTGGACTGGACAGAGGGGAGGACGTGACCTCTGATAGGACTCTGCAGAGCCTGGGACCAGGAGGAGTCTGGCTGGGGAAGCCAGGGGCATCAGCTGAGGGGTCACGTGGGGACCCCTAAAGAGGCCCAGAGAGAGTGACAAGAGGAGCAGCCAGGGGCAGGGAGCCTGTCGGGGCTAAGGAGCGGCTCAGGAGTGTGGGGTGCAGGAGGAATGGGGTGGGTGGAGCACGCAGGAAGGTCTGAGTGGAGGGGCTGTGAGGGTCAGGTCAGGACTCCCTGGGAGATACACACACAGGACAGGAACCCCTCCCTCGCTCCCCAGGCCTGCCCACAATGGCTGTGCTTGTTGCCGTGGGCTGCACTGTTTCTCCCCAAAATCCACATATTGAAGCCCCAACCCCCACTGCCTCAAAGTGTGGCTGTCTTTGGAAACAGGTCCTTTTCTGTTTGTTTGCTTGACAAGTTTCGATCTGTCCCCCAGGCTGGAGTGCGGTGCCACAGTCTGGCCTCACCGCAACCTCTGCCTCCCAGGTTCAAGCCATTCTCCTGCCTGAGCCTCTAGAGTAGCCAGGATTATAAACATGCATCCGCCGACTGGCTAATTTTTCTATTTTGGGTAGAGATGGGGTTTTGTCATGTTGGCCAGGCTGATCTCGAACCCCTGACCTCAGGTGGACCCGCCTCACACTCCCAAAGTACTGGGATTACAGGCATGAACCTCTGCACCCAGCCTGGAGACAGGTCCTTGCATCAGATGATGAATGTAAATGAGACCTCTAGGGTGGGCCTAAATTCACTTGGCTGCGGTCCTAAACCTGGAGGACGTTTGCAGGCAGAGAGACACCAGGGGAGCAGGTGCAGAGAGGAAAGGCCACAGAGGACATGGCTGGGAGGGACCCCTGCCAGCCAGGAGGAGCAGCCTCGGGCCTCAGAGGAAACAACCCAGCCGACGGCTCCACCTTGAACTTGCAGCCTCCACATCTGTGAGAAAATAAACAGCTGCCCTGTGGGTGCCCAGCCCGGGGCCATCTTCTATGGCAGCTGAAGCCTGAAGCTCTGTTTCCAAGGAGGCGGCTCCTTCTCAGGGGCTCAGGTTGGCCTATAAGGATGTGGCTGAAAGCTTCTGTAGAGCTTGTGAATATTCACCAGGGAGATGGAAGGAGCCAGCCTGTGGCTCCCAAGCTGAGGGGAGGGCAGCCTCGGGGGTGGATGGAGGTCACTCTGGAGGCAGAAGGGGTCTCTCACTCACAGGTAGGGCCCAGAAAAGCAGGGAGACAGCAAAATAGAGGGAGCAGGGGTGGGGCTAGAGGTGGGGTTGAGGGTGGGGGTGGGGGGTGTGACCATGAGGGCAGGCAGCTGGGCAGGAGGGCTCGGCCAGGAGTGGAACTGGTCTGAGACAGAGGGGACGCCTCAGGAGGATGAGCAGGAGAGGGGAAGCCTCAGGAGGATGAGCAGGGGGTGAGAGGAGAGAGGCGATGAGGCGGAAGGAGACCCTCACCCGAGAACCTCCCCCAGCGTGATGTGCAGTAATGTATAATGTTTAGGCAGCTTATTCCAAGGCTTATACAATCTTTGGTTGTCCACGAACTTGTCCCAACAGTGTTGAAATTCTGAGAAAAAGAAGAGAGAACGCAGTCAGGCCCAGCTGGCCTCTCTTCTGTGACCCTGGGGCCCTCCCCTTCCAGACCTACTCCGGGATGTTAGTTACACTCAGTGCCGGACCTGACCCCACAGGCTCCCCTGGGACACTTGGCCTCTCCTGGCATCACAGACCCACCCATCGCAGATCCTCATGCACTCCCTCCCACACCCCTGAACCCCTACTTCTCACCGCCATAACTCATGATCTTCATGGTGGCATGTGGACTGTCTCTTCTCTGACACAGTCTGCGAAGCTCCTCCCGGTAATGTGGGATCCAGAAGTAGTAAAGGCGGGCCACAAAGATGGTCAGAGTGACCTTCCCATCCTCAGTCAGGAACTCGGCCACATTCCTTGCACACACTGGGCAGGGGCTCCAGGACACAAACCAGGTGACCTCGTATTCCTGGTCACTATGCAGCTTCCACTTTCGGAACCAATGGAGGAATCTCATCTCTGGGTGGTGTTGAGGCTTTGAATAGACCTGGGAGAAGAGGAGGGGGCAGGGAAAGCTGTGGGACACTAAGCAGGAGGAGTGCAGGGGTGGGGCAGGGGGAGGAGGGGCCAAGACAGAGCCCAGGGGATCTTGTTCACTGAAGCTTCTTTCCTCCATCCCCCCTCTTTGGCTTGAGAGTCTGTCTGCTCCAAAGCTCATGTTCAGTGTTAATTGCTATTGCAATGGCCTTAAGGGGTGGCACCGACACTCAACTGTGAGGCTGTGGGGACTGCACCTTTGTGGGTACCACTGGGGTTGTTATTCAAGGGTGACTTCAGCCCCTCTCTCTGTCTCTGTCTCTTCCCCTCCAGCTGGAGGGGCAGCGTGTCAGACTAAACTCCTGCTTCCTCTGTCCCCTGTGGTGGAGCAGCAGTGACTCCACATCCCAGGCCGCTCTGTCTGCAGCATCCCCTGAGCTTCCCCAGCAACCTTCACCCCAACGTGACAGTGCAGCTCGCAGGCCCCGGAAACTTGCTGGTGCCTTGACATTGGACTTCCCAGAGTCCAGAACTGGAGCCAACACATTTCCGTTCATTGTAAATTTCCCCATCTCAGTCATGCTGTTGAAGCATCACCGGGTGCACTAAGACACATGCCTCCCTTCTGTTGGTAGTTTTCCTAGCCCTGTTCATGGCCTCATGCGTGAATTCTGGCATCCATTCTCCCAGGCATTCGTTCACCAGACATGCTCAGCCCCTGGTGTGGCCTGGCCCTCTGGGGTCGGCCTCGTTCCCTGCCTGCCATCTGCTGGGGAGGCTGCTGGGCCTGTGCTGTCCCATGTGGGTGGGGGGGTGGGCATTGGCCACGGGGGCTACAGAGCACTTGAAATGGAGCCTGATGAGAGATGTGAGCACAGGAAAAATACAAAGCTCACTTCTCTCTCTCTCTCTCTCTTTTGAGACGGAGTTTTGTCTTGTTGCCAAGGCTGGAGTGCAATGGCGTGATCTCGACTCACCACAACCTCCGCCTCATGGGTTCAAGTGATTCTGCTGAGGCAGCTCTGGAGCATCTGGGATTACAGGTGCCCACCACCACAACTGCCTATTTTTTCATTTTTTTATTTTTTAATTTTTAGTAGAGACAGGATTTCACGCTGTCGGCCAGGCTGGTTTTAAACATCTAACCTCAGGTGATCTGCCTGCCTTGGCCTCCCAAAGTGCTGGGATTACAAGCATGAGCCACTGTGTGTGGCCTACACTGCTCATTTCAAAGACTCCGTGTGAGAGGAAAAAGCAACTTCACTATCTTGTGAAGAATTTTATGTTAATTAATGTTGAAGTAATATGTTAGCTACAGTGGATTAAATAAAATATTAAAATTAGGCCAGGCGTGGTGGCTCATGCCTGCAATCCCAATACTTTGGAAGCCCAAGGCAGGTGGATCACCTGAGGTGAGGAGCTCGAGGCCAGCCTGGCCAACATGATGAAACCCCATGTCTACTAAAAACACAAAAAATTTAGCTGGGCGTGGTGATGGGCACCTGTAATCCCAGCACCTCAGGAGTCTGATTGCTTGAACCCAGGAGGCAGAGCTTCCGGTGAGCCGAGATCGCGCCATTGCACTCCAGCCTGGGCAACAAGAGCAAAACTCCAACTTAAAAAAAAAAAAAAAAGCGTATCTGCTAAGAGGCAAACCCCCACGATCCGATCCCAGGACGGTCAAGCCAGCAGGTCAGGTTCACAGACTTGAAAAACGTGGGAGAAAAGTACACAGTGGATAGCCCGCCGCGGGCATGTCACCGATCAGTGCGTGCTTTGCTTCCCCAGCTGGCTTAGCTTCTGCCTGCAAATTCACTGGAGTCTGGGGGGTACCTGGCCTTGCAAGATCTTTGCAACCAAAGGGGGCCTCGAGCAGTCATTTGTTTTCATTTTCACTTCGTAGCACAGCCAGACGGTGTTCCGATGAGAAAGGATGGGTCTATTATAAAAGTTGTAGAAGAATGTGTCTGGATCCATTCGCGCCACCGTGTTTCTGAAGACACAAGAGAGAAACCAGCCAATTCAGAGAGCGCTCCCTGGAGCCCTCCGGGCTGATGTCCACTCTGCACAGCTTGTTGGACAGCCCTGGGCCTCCCCCTCCCTCCACAGGCCTGAGAATTTCTACTGCCTGCCCAGGCAGGAAGACCAGGGAGATGGCTGGGTGTCTTATGCCTGTAATCCCAGTACTGTGGGAGGCCGAGGTGAGAGTATCATGAGGTCAGGAGTTCGAGACCATCCTGGCCAACATGGTGAAACCCTATCTCTACTAAAATACAAAAAATTAGCTGGGCATGGTAGTGCCATGCCTGTAATTTCAGCTACCAGGGAGGCTGAGGCAGGGGAATCTTGAACCTGGGAGGCATTAGGCCAGAGAAATGCTGTGGGAGGTTGCAATGAGCCAAGGTCATCCGATTGCACTCCAGCCTGGAGACACAGCAAGACTGCGTCTCAAAAAAAAAAAAAAAAAAATACCAGGGAGAGAACAAGAGAAAGGGATGGTGGCAGGGGCAGCAGGGCCAGGGTGACCTCTCCCGCTCAGGGCCCAGCTCTGGTCTTTCCACAGGTACATTCCTCACCCTCCCAATATTTCTGCCCACCCAACTGCCAATTAGGAAGATGCAAAAGAGAAACTTCACTATCTTGTGGCTGGGTGTTATGCTCATGCCTGTAATCCCAGCACTTTCGGAGGCTGAGGCAGGCAGATCACTTGAGGTCAGGAGTTTGAGACCAGCCTGGCTAACATGGTGAGACCCCGTGTCTCTACTAAAAATACAAAAAAAGATTAGCCAGGTGTGGTAGTAGGTGCCTGTAAACCCAGTTACTCTAGAGGTTGGGGCAGGAGAATTGCCTGAACTGCCAGTTGGAGGTTGCAGTGAGCTGAGATGGCGCCACTGCACTCCAGCCTGGGTGATGAGTTAAACTCCGTCTTAAAAAAAAAAAAAAGGCAGAGAACAAAACTCTTCACCGCCAAATAATAGCTTTTAACCTTTCACCTCAGCTTCCTCCTGACATTTCACCTCTATATGATTATTTTTAAATGACGGTAGAACTGAATGCTGAGGCCCAGGCCACTTTTCTAAGTGCTTCAAGGTTCTGAGCTCATGTGATGCTGACCTGGGCCTGCAGGGCCATTCCCATCTTACAGAGGGGGTGCCAGAGGCACAGAGAGGCAGGGTAACCTGCCCTGGACATGGAGCTGGGCTGATGGAGCTGAGGCCCCTTTCTAGGCCAGCCCTCTCCAGCCTCTGCATTCACCAGCCCTGCAGGAGGGAGCCGCTGGGGACTGGGCTCTCTTCTCACTACATTTTATTTTTATTTATTTATTTATTTATTGAGACGGAGTTTCGCTGTTGTTACCCAGACTGGAGTGCAATGGCACGATTTCGGCTCACCTCAACCTCCACCTTCTGGGTTCAGGCAATTCTCCTGCCTCAGCCTCCCGAGTAGCTGGGACTACAGGTGCCCACCACCATGCCCAACTAATTTTTGTATTTTTAGTAGAGACGGGGTTGCACCTTGTTGACCAGGATGGTCTCGATCTCTTGACCTCATGATCCACCCGCCTCAGCCTCCCAAAGTACTGGGATTATACGCGTGAACCACCGCGCCCGGCCTTCTCACTACATTTTAAAATAAGAGCATTTCTCCTGATCATTGCGTTTTTCCTCTATATTCCATGTTACTGGTGGCATTATAAACGGTGAATGGCAGTCTTAGATGTAAGCTCTGACTGCCCATGAATGGCATGGTAATATCTCTGTGTACCCTGCACACACACCCCAGATGAGTTCCTGGAAGAAACGATCAACTCCTGCGATGCCTAACTAACCTGAGACATTCTTCTATTGTTTCTTTCTTCTTTTAAATTATCATACAGGCCAAAATGTCACTATTGTTTCTTCTTCCAGCCTCAATTGACAAGGCCATTGGACTTTGTGACTTTGTAACCGACCTTGGCCGACCTCGTGACTCCATGCCCTACGACCCCCTCCCAGCTTGCAAACCTACCACCCCCTCCCAGCTTGCAAACCTACGACCCCCTCCCAGCTTGCAAACCTACGACCCCCTCCCAGCTTGCAAACCTACGACCCCCTCCCAGCTTGCAAAACAACCTCCCTAAAGTTACTTCTGTAACTTTCCACTGTTTAACTCCAAACCTATAAAACCAACTCCTCTCCCTCCACCCTCTGCTGACTCCATTTTCGGCCTCAGCCTGGCCACACTTGGGTGAATAAACAGCCATGTTGCTCACACAAAGCCTGTTTGGGGGTCTCTTCATTCAGAGCTCCCGTTTTAACACTGGAGGAGGACTGTGTGTTTGGGGTCATCTGCAGCCTCCTGTGCCCACAGTGGAGACATCCTTGGAAGAGATGGTTTATCTTGTGCTTCAGAGACCATTCCCTCCCCCACACCCTCTCATAAGACTTTTTTTTTTTTTTTTGAGACTGAGTCTCCTTCTGTTGCCCAGGCTGGAGTACAATGGCGCAATCTCAGCTCAATGCAACTTCCACCTCCTGTGTTCAAGTGATTCTCCTGCCTCTGCCTCTTGAGTAGCTGAGATTACAGATGCCTGCTACCATGCCCGGCTAGTTTTTTGTATTTTTAGTAGAGATGAGGTTTTACCATGTTGGCCAGGCTGGTCTTGAACTCCTGATCTCATGATCCACCCGCCTCCCAAAGCGCTGGGATTGCACGCTTGAGCCACCACCCCCGGCCCAAGACTTTGTATTTCAGCAAAGTAAATCTTACAGAAAATCCATCAAAGCGCTGTGAACAAAAATGCCTGATTGCTCCAGTCATCCTTCGATTCAATTCTCCCAGTTCCAGAGCTTAGGAACGGTGGGAAGCACGTAGAGGGAGCACCCTCCCAGGGCAGGGAGCATCAGCCTGGCCAAGACTTTCAGGAGACAGTCTTAGCAGGAGGCCTGGGCTGGGGCAGGTGGGGGAGGTGGCCCATTCAGAAGCAGCAGTGAGGTGACCACACAGTGGGGCAAAGAGCCTGGCAGGGAGTGGGGGCAAAAGAGGAGCCAGAGGGGAGGGAACCAGCCCAGGGGTGGGCCAGGGGCAGGGGGAGGCCAGGGCTAAGTCCCAGCAGGGCTACCAGGCAGGAGGGGACAGCTGTACCTGGTCTGAGGCTTCATCTGTGGCCAGCTAGTCCCAACCATGATCTTTGTCTGAACCACTAAGGTTTCACTTTCGGCAACAGGCTCCAGGTTTTAGGACAGCCCTCCTTAAAGTGACCACGCCCAGGACCTTGTGAGTCATGGTCCCTCCCCCTTCCAGCTCAGGCTCTGCTTCGGGAGAATCCGGAGTGCTTTATCTTCCTGGGCTCCACCCTCTTTCTTTCTCAGAGATCCTCCCCCTGGCAGAGAGACCTCTGATAGAGCGGACTGCTCTCTGCGGCAGGACCCAAGGAAATCGCAAAGGGAAAAAGAGAAAGTCATTTCAGCCAGAGCTGGGGAGGTGGGTCCACACTAGGCTGAGCCAGCAGAGCAGAGGCCCCTCCCTGGTGGTCCGGGTCAGCTGGAGCCACCTCTCCACCATCAAGACAGACAGGCTGAAGCCTCTGCAGGGACTCCTGGATCCTGTTCTCAACGATCATCCCAGAGACACCCCACCCAGCCGCCGTGGGGACGAGGAGGGAGAGTGAAGGGCCAGGTGTCTACATCCCTCCCCATGCCTTCACACTCGGAGGCCAGCATGGGAGGGAGGGACAGCAGGTGGGTGTGGCCCCCAGCTGGCCCACCAGGATGTCATGGGCACTCCCACACTGAGCTCCTTCCTTCTGGCTTCTCCTTCTTCTGCTTCTCCTGCCTGGAGTTCCTCCCTGGTGGGCTGAGCTCTTGCCTCCTCCTGTCCCATGTCATGAAAGGGCAGCGGCTGGTGTCCCAGGCCAACCTGTCTGGAGCCTCCCTGTGCATCTCACAGCTCCCTTCCCCAAGTAGTGTGCTCCCGTGGTGCAGCTAACGAAACATTTCACAACGTATAAATTCGGAAAGGAGACTTATTTCCTGTTAAGGGTGACAGCCTGCAAGGCAGCCATCCGGCAGGCCGGGAAGAGCAGCCTCTAGGAAACACGAGAGACAGACCTTTAGAAGCAGGTGGGGTTGGGGCAGGAGCTTTATGCTGAAGGGGTTGGCCAAACATACATATTCAACAGGATATGGGAGGAGCTAGGAATATTCATGCCGGTGGTTGTGCTCCCTGCTTGTTAAACAGACATGCCTGTAACATATGATCCCGGCTGGGCATGGTAGCTCACGCCTGTAATCCCAGCACTTTGGGAGGTCGAGGCAGGTGGATCACGAGGTCAGGAGTTTGAAACCAGCCTGGTCAACATAGTGAAACCCTGTCCCTACTAAAAATATAAAAATTAGCTGGGTGTGGTGTCCCACGCCTGTAATCTCAGCTATTTGGGAGGCTGAGGCAGGAGAATTGCTTGAACCTGGGAGGCGGAGGTTGCAGTGAGCCGAGACCATGCCATTGCACCCCAGCTCTGGTGACAGAGTGAGACTCTATTTCAAAAAAAAAAATTAGTATTTCATTTTATTCTTTTACATAAAGTTTAAGGCCGGGCCATGAACAGCAGGATCACCTCTGTGATCTGCACGCACACCCCGGTGAGTCCCTGTAAGAAACCATCAACGCCTAACCCCTGCTGCGCATAACTACCCTGAGACATTATTCTATTGTTTCTTACTCCCGCCTCAATTGACAAAGCCAGCGGACTTTGTAACCGACCTTGACTCCACACCCTACAACCCCCTCCCAGCTTGCAAACCTATGACCCCCTCCCAACTTTCAAAAAACATCCCTAAAGTAACTTTTGTAACTTTCCACTGCCTTTTTTGTAACTTTCCCCACAACCTATAAAATCAACTCCTATCCCACTGCCCTTTGCTGACTCCATGTTCGGCCTCAGCCCGTCCACACCCAGACGAATAAACAGCCATGTTGCTCACACAAAGCCTGTTTAGGGGTCTCCTCATTCAGAGCACACGTTTTAACATGAAGCCAATTCAATTCATCACCAGATGAGTAGGTTTGAAACCTTTCTGAGCAGTCTCACTACTGTATTCCTGAAATATCGCATACATTTTTGATTAAAAGTAATTCTCCCTGTTAGGGACAAGCTGCCTCAGAAACCCCCTCCACGAAAGCTGAGCCCTGCACACTCTGGTGCTCCGCAGCTGCATTTCTGAACTCCTATCCGGGTGCCAGGTCAAGGCTGCAAAGCCTGATTACAGCCATCCGGGCAGCTTGGGAGAGGACAGGGGAAAACCAGTGTTTGCTATCCACACTTGTAAATTCCTGCTTAAAACATATCTGTAAAACCCTGATTTTTTAAAAAACTGCCCCCACAAAAGTCACAGGATGATGTATTGTAAGTAGGTCACAAGTTAACAAAATATCTCTGCCTGTTACAAGCGGATAGATTATCTCAGTCCCGAAACTCCCTTATGCTCCTCTCACCCCATATAAACCCCTCGTTTTATAAGCTCGGGGCTGCCTCCTCCGACTGTTGTGGGGCAGCCCGGCCGGTTAATAAAACATGCTCGCCTGACTTAGGGTCTTTTCTCCTTTGACTACACTAACCTTACACACTCTAATTTTTAAAATAATCTACTTGTCAGGAGTGAATTGCTTTGCTGGCATCTGTGATCAGCTGCAGCTGGCGGTGAACAGCCCGGTTGCATTTCTTGGAAGAAGATCTTTTATTCCGCTGCTCAGCCCAGGTCTCTGCCTTCCTTAGAGACTGAGGATCATTCATCAGTTTCCCTGATTCAGGAAGAGCAGGGGAGTTGAATGGAGCAGGGGGTGAGAGAGTGGAAAGAGGGCACGGGAGGAGGCCTGGGGACAGGGACAATGATGGGAGAGGAGAGGGGGATGGAGGAGGTGGGAGAGAGAGGGAGGCTGTGAGGAGGAAAGGGAGAGACAGCATTGGGTGCCCTGGGGGGAGCAGGGAACCCAGAGGAGGCTCTGAGCAGAGGGGAAGGCAAGGCCCAGGGGGAGAGGGGAGGAGGGGAGGCCCATGGGGCACTGGGCAGAGGGAGGAAGCCCTCACCTGGAGAATGGCCTGCAGCCTCCCACTCAGGGCTTGGCTGTGCTCATCTAGGCCCTCCCAGGGCTTGAAGCGGCGTCTGTGGTGATCCACAAAGGTGTCCCAGCAGTGCCTAAACTCTGAAACAGGACAGGGGAGATAAGTCCCGTTCCCCTGACTCTCAGGACAGACTCCCACATGCTGGTTTGAGTCCCTCCTTTCCCTCCCCTTCCCCTCAGGACTTCGCTCTGGTATTAGCCACTTCCTTCCCATTGGAATCTGGGACAGGGAGAAGAGCAGGGGCCTCCCCAGAGGGCCTGAGCACAGGGAGCTGACCCTGGGAGACCCTGACAAGGCCCCAACAGGCCCCAGGGCTGCAGGGATCTCCCAGTGAGCCCCAGAAGGGGTCAGAGGGAAGGTTTGGAGGCTCCAGCAAGTGAGCGGGAGCCCTTCCTGATAGGTGCCAAGGGGTGTGGGCAATGGGAAAAGAGTGTGGGTGCGAGGGAGGAAGCCTGGGGATGGAGGGGAGGCAGGAGGAGTTCTCATTCTTCTGGAAGCCCCAAGTCCTTCTTCCAGCCACCCTCCTCGCCCTCCTCAGGCCCCCATCTCCTGGCCTCTCTCTTCCCATAGACCCCAAAGTCAGGCTCAGTGTGCAGCCCTCGCCTCTGCAGACAGCAGACCAAGGCCTCTCCCCCAGGGATGCCCGCCCTCCCCACTTTCTAGTAACTCCCGAGGGCCCTCTCCTGCCCCGGCTGACCCCACCCCACTCCCGGCTTCCATTCTCACCACTGTATTTCATCATGGAAATTGGGGCCACAGCCCAGCTCAGCCTGCGCAGCCCCTCCTCATATCCTGGGCGATAATCATAAATGCGGGCAGCGAAGATGCGCAGGTTCACGTGTGGGTTCTCTTGAAGGAATTCAGCCACCTTCTCGGCACAGCAGAAGCAGGGGCTCCAGGAGATGAAGCAGGTGACCCTGAGGCACTGGGCCAGGTCCAGCTTCCAAAAGGAAATCAGGTCCAGGAGGCACAGCTCTGCATGGCGGCCTTCAGGGAAACTGAGACTATTTGAAGCCTAGAAAAGAAAGCAAGGTGTGAGGCGTCTTTTGTGAGCAGGGAGGGACAGCCCAGATCAGAGAGGCTGGGTGCGGGGCAGCCTCCAACACAAGATTAGAAGGGGCACCAAACCCTAGTTATCAAGATGATTTTCTTTTCTTATTTTTCTTTTTTTGAGACAGAGTCTGGTTCTGTCACTCAGCCTGGCGTGCAGTGCTCCGATCTTAGCTCACTGCAACCACCGACTCTTGGGTTCAAGCGATTCTCGTGCCTTAGCCTCCTCAGTAGCTGGGATTACAGGCGCTCACCACCACACCTGGCTAATTTTTGTATTTTTAGTAGAGACGAGGTTTCATCGTCTCCAGCTCATGACATCAAGTAATCCTCTGACCTTGGCCTCCCAAACTGCTGGGATTACAGGTGTGAGCCACCAAACTTGACCTGACTTTTAAAATAATACATTAAATCATTTTATTTTAGATTATGGTGCAATTTCTCTGATACTGAGTATTTGGAGCATCTTCTCATTTTGCACCTGAGGTCAGTGCCTTCACGACCCTCACTCTGGGCCCAGGAGGGGCTGCAGAGCTAGGGGAGGGAGGACAGATGCCACTGAGCTGCATGTTCGTCCCTTGTGGGGAGACTGTTCTGGCCTTGCTGTGGGCTCCACCCTGGTCAGGACAGAATCCCTGATCGGCCTCTCCTGCCTCAGTCTCTCTCCCCATGGGATGTAGCCCAGGAGCAGGCACTGGGGAATCCTGGCCTTGTGAGGTCAGGGAGGCCCTGACCCTCAAATCCCACCATTCTAATGATTCCTGGTGAGAGCTGCGTCTGTGAGGGATCCTGGGAGGGTCTCAGGAAGCACTTTGCCTTTGACCCCACCTGGCCCTGGTGCAGACCCTTTTCCTCTGCCCGGACCCTCTCAGAGCACAGCAGGAGGGGGGATGGCTGAGCCCTGGACCTGGGGGTGACTCTGGACTAGTGGTGCCCCCGAGACACATGGCCGGTTAGGTATGTGGGGCTGGAAGCTGCTGATCCTGGAGAGTCACTGAAGCCGAGGTCTCCCTGAACCCCAGGGCCAAGCAGCAGCAGTGCAGGAAGCACAGGTCAGACAGTCTGAGGGACCCCACAGGTCCCACCCGGAACCTTCTAGCCATGTGTGTCCCTCGGTGGGGAGGGCCCTGCGTGGATGCGGGTGTTTGGTGATCACCTCGTTGAGTATGAAGCCCCTGTGCTGGTGCAGCGGGACCCAGGTGCCACTGTGCAGGTGCTCCACCTCGTAACACAGGTAGGTCTGGTGCCGTCCAAGGACCGAAGGGTCATTGGTAAAGTTGTAAGTGAATGTGTCTGGATCCATCAGGTGTCTGTGGACAGCGGGAGAAAAGCCCAGAAGAGTAAGAGCCCTCCTGGACTTCCCTGCCTCCCCCTCCTTCCCCACGCTTTCCCTCAGGCACCCCAAATTCCTTCCCCCTGCTCCCCACATCCCTTGGCACCACTCAGGAGGGGCTCCCGCTCACGTGCTGGAATCTCCAAACCTCCCTCTGAGGGGGCGCCTTCTGGGGCTCACTGGGACATCCCTGCAGCCCTGGGGCCTGTCGGGGCCTTGTCAGGGTCTCCCAGGGTCAGCTCAGTGTGCTCAGACCCTCTGGGGAGGCCCCTGCCCCTCTCTCTGAGCTAGAGCTGGGTCTCCTACCCTGGCCTCACCATGCAACCCAGTCCTGGCTCTGCTCACCCTCAGTCCCTGCTGGAGATGGACCCTCTGGGGCTTCCCTCCTGCAAGCGGGGTTAATATTACCACACCCAGCATCGGGGCAGAGATGCTCCTGAGTGGGACCAGCAGGAGAGCCTGCTAGGGACTGTTTTTGGATAATTCACAGGATTTTCTTCTGTTGCCCAAAAAACACGTGTCCTCACAAGACCACACATTATGAAAATAGAAGTGAACTCTCAGCCCCAGTGCAGAGGCTCTTCCAACACAGAAGCGCCAGTGCAGAGGCTCTTTCAACACAGAAGCGCCAGTGCAGAGGCTCTTCCAACACAGAAGCGCCAGTGCAGAGGCTCTTCCAACACAGAAGCGCCCAGTGCAGAGGCTCTTCCAACACAGAAGCGCCAGTGCAGAGGCTCTTCCAACACAGAAGCCCCAGTGCAGAGTCTCTTCCAACACAGAAGCGCCAGTGCAGAGGCTCTTCCAACACAGAAGCGCCCAGTGCAGAGGCTCTTCCAACACAGAAGCGCCAGTGCAGAGGCTCTTCCAACACAGAAGCCCCAGTGCAGAGGCTCTTCCAACACAGAAGCACCAGTGCAGAGGCTCTTCCAACACAGAAGCACCCAGTGCAGAGTCTCTTCCAACACAGAAGCGCCAGTGCAGAGGCTCTTCCAACACAGAAGCGCCCAGTGCAGAGGCTCTTCCAACACAGAAGCCCCAGTGCAGAGGCTCTTCCAACACAGAAGCGCCAGTGCAGAGGCTCTTCCAACACAGAAGCCCCAGTGCAGAGGCTCTTCCAACACAGAAGTGCCCAGTGCAGAGGCTCTTCCAACACAGAAGCCCCAGTGCAGAGGCTCTTCCAACACAGAAGCGCCAGGGCTTCTCCCTGGACTGGACAGAGGGGAGGACGTGACCTCTGATGGGACTCTGCAGAGCCTGGGACCGGGAGGAGTCTGGCTGGGGAAGCCAGGGGCATCAGCTGAGGGGTCACGTGGGGACCCCTAAAGAGGCCCAGAGAGAGTGACAAGAGGAGCAGCCAGGGGCAGGGAGCCTGTCGGGGCTAAGGAGCGGCTCAGGAGTGTGGGGTGCAGGAGGAATGGGGTGGGTGGAGCACGCAGGAAGGTCTGAGTGGAGGGGCTGTGAGGGTCAGGTCAGGACTCCCTGGGAGATACACACACAGGACAGGAACCCCTCCCTCGCTCCCCAGGCCTGCCCACAATGGCTGTGCTTGTTGCCGTGGGCTGCACTGTTTCTCCCCAAAATCCACATATTGAAGCCCCAACCCCCACTGCCTCAAAGTGTGGCTGTCTTTGGAAACAGGTCCTTTTCTGTTTGTTTGCTTGACAAGTTTCGATCTGTCCCCCAGGCTGGAGTGCGGTGCCACAGTCTGGCCTCACCGCAACCTCTGCCTCCCAGGTTCAAGCCATTCTCCTGCCTGAGCCTCTAGAGTAGCCAGGATTATAAACATGCATCCGCCGACTGGCTAATTTTTCTATTTTGGGTAGAGATGGGGTTTTGTCATGTTGGCCAGGCTGATCTCGAACCCCTGACCTCAGGTGGACCCGCCTCACACTCCCAAAGTACTGGGATTACAGGCATGAACCTCTGCACCCAGCCTGGAGACAGGTCCTTTCATCAGATGATGAATGTAAATGAGACCTCTAGGGTGGGCCTAAATTCACTTGGCTGCGGTCCTAAACCTGGAGGACGTTTGCAGGCAGAGAGACACCAGGGGAGCAGGTGCAGAGAGGAAAGGCCACAGAGGACATGGCTGGGAGGGACCCCTGCCAGCCAGGAGGAGCAGCCTCGGGCCTCAGAGGAAACAACCCAGCCGACGGCTCCACCTTGAACTTGCAGCCTCCACATCTGTGAGAAAATAAACAGCTGCCCTGTGGGTGCCCAGCCCGGGGCCATCTTCTATGGCAGCTGAAGCCTGAAGCTCTGTTTCCAAGGAGGCGGCTCCTTCTCAGGGGCTCAGGTTGGCCTATAAGGATGTGGCTGAAAGCTTCTGTAGAGCTTGTGAATATTCACCAGGGAGATGGAAGGAGCCAGCCTGTGGCTCCCAAGCTGAGGGGAGGGCAGCCTCGGGGGTGGATGGAGGTCACTCTGGAGGCAGAAGGGGTCTCTCACTCACAGGTAGGGCCCAGAAAAGCAGGGAGACAGCAAAATAGAGGGAGCAGGGGTGGGGCTAGAGGTGGGGTTGAGGGTGGGGGTGGGGGGTGTGACCATGAGGGCAGGCAGCTGGGCAGGAGGGCTCGGCCAGGAGTGGAACTGGTCTGAGACAGAGGGGACGCCTCAGGAGGATGAGCAGGAGAGGGGAAGCCTCAGGAGGATGAGCAGGAGAGGGGAAGCCTCAGGAGGATGAACAGGGGGTGAGAGGAGAGAGGCAATGAGGCGGAAGGAGACCCTCACCCGAGAACCTCCCCCAGCGTGATGTGCAGTAATGTATAATGTTTAGGCAGCTTATTCCAAGGCTTATACAATCTTTGGTTGTCCACGAACTTGTCCCAACAGTGTTGAAATTCTGAGAAAAAGAAGAGAGAACGCAGTCAGGCCCAGCTGGCCTCTCTTCTGTGACCCTGGGGCCCTCCCCTCCCAGACCTACTCCGGGATGTTAGTTACACTCAGTGCGGGACCTGACCCCACAGGCTCCCCTGGGACACTTGGCCTCTGCTGGCATCACAGACCCACCCATCGCAGATCCTCATGCACTCCCTCCCACACCCCTGAACCCCTACTTCTCACCGCCATAACTCATGATCTTCATGGTGGCATGTGGACTGTCTCTTCTCTGACACAGTCTGCGAAGCTCCTCCCGGTAATGTGGGATCCAGAAGTAGTAGAGGCGGGCCACAAAGATGGTCAGAGTGACCTTCCCATCCTCAGTCAGGAACTCGGCCACATTCCTTGCACACACTGGGCAGGGGCTCCAGGACACAAACCAGGTGACCTCGTATTCCTGGTCACTATGCAGCTTCCACTTTCGGAACCAATGGAGGAATCTCATCTCTGGGTGGTGTTGAGGCTTTGAATAGACCTGGGAGAAGAGGAGGGGGCAGGGGAAGCTGTGGGACACTAAGCAGGAGGAGTGCAGGGGTGGGGCAGGGGGAGGAGGGGCCAAGACAGAGCCCAGGGGATCTTGTTCACTGAAGCTTCTTTCCTCCATCCCCCCTCTTTGGCTTGAGAGTCCGTCTGCTCCAAAGCTCATGTTCAGTGTTAATTGCTATTGCAATGGCCTTAAGAGGTGGCACTGACACTAGACTATGAGGCTGTGGGTGCCGGCCCCACTGGATGGTTACCACTGGGGTTGTTATTCAAGGGTGACTTCAGCCCCTCTCTCTGTCTCTTCCCCTCCAGCTGGAGGGGCAGCGTGTCAGACTAAACTCCTGCTTCCTCTGTCCCGTGGTGGAGCAGCAGTGACTCCACATCCCAGGCCGCTCTGTCTGCAGCATCCCCTGAGCTTCCCCAGCAACCTTCACCCCAACGTGACAGTGCAGCTCGCAGGCCCCGGAAACTTGCTGGTGCCTTGACATTGGACTTCCCAGAGTCCAGAACTGGAGCCAACACATTTCCGTTCATTGTAAATTTCCCCATCTCAGTCATGCTGTTGAAGCATCACCGGGTGCACTAAGACACATGCTTCCCTTCTGTTGGTAGTTTTCCTAGCCCTGTTCATGGCCTCATGTGTGAATTCTGGCATCCATTCTCCCAGGCATTCGTTCACCAGACATGCTCAGCCCCTGGTGTGGCCTGGCCCTCTGGGGTCGGCCTCGTTCCCTGCCTGCTGTCTACTGGGGAGGCCGCTGGACCTGTGCTGTCCCATGTGGGTGGGGGGGTGGGCATTGGCCACGGGGGCTACAGAGCACTTGAAATGGAGCCTGATGAGAGATGTGAGCACAGGAAAAATACAAAGCTCACTTCTCTCTCTCTCTCTCTCTCTCTCTCTCTCTCTCTCTCTCTCGACGGAGTTTTGTCTTGTTGCCCAGGCTGGAGTGCAATGGCGTGATCTCGGCTCACCACAACCTCTGCCTCCTGGGTTCAAGTGATTCTGCTGAGTCAGCTCTGAAGCATCTGGGATTACAGGTGCCCACCACCACAACTGGCTATTTTTTCATTTTTTTTTTTTTTAATTTTTAGTAGAGACAGGATTTCACGCTGTCGGCCAGGCTGGTTTTAAACATCTAACCTCAGGTGATCTGCCTGCCTTGGCCTCCCAAAGTGCTGGGATTACAAGCATGAGCCACTGTGTGTGGCCTACACTGCTCATTTCAAAGACTCCGTGTGAGAGGAAAAAGCAACTTCACTATCTTGTGAAGAATTTTATGTTAATTAATGTTGAAGTAATATGTTAGCTACAGTGGATTAAATAAAATATTAAAATTAGGCCAGGCGTGGTGGCTCATGCCTGCAATCCCAATACTTTGGAAGCCCAAGGCAGGTGGATCACCTGAGGTGAGGAGCTCGAGGCCAGCCTGGCCAACATGATGAAACCCCATCTCTACTAAAAATACAAAAAATTTAGCTGGGCGTGGTGATGGGCACCTGTAATCCCAGCACCTCAGGAGTCTGATTGCTTGAACCCAGGAGGCAGAGCTTCCGGTGAGCCGAGATCGCGCCATTGCACTCCAGCCTGGGCAACAAGAGCAAAACTCCATCTTAAAAAAAAAAAAAAAAGCGTATCTGCTAAGAGGCAAACCCCCACGATCCGATCCCAGGATGGTCAAGCCAGCAGGTCAGGTTCACAGACTTGAAAAACGTGGGAGAAAAGTACACAGTGGATAGCCCGCCGCGGGCATGTCACCGATCAGTGCGTGCTTTGCTTCCCCAGCTGGCTTAGCTTCTGCCTGCAAATTCATTGGAGTCTGGGGGGTACCTGGCCTTGCAAGATCTTTGCAACCAAAGGGGGCCTCGAGCGGTCGTTTGTTTTCATTTTCACTTCGTAGCACAGCCAGACGGTGTTCCGATGAGAAAGGATGGGTCTATTATAAAAGTTGTAGAAGAATGTGTCTGGATCCATTCGTGCCACCGTGTTTCTGAAGACACAAGAGAGAAACCAGCCAATTCAGAGAGCGCTCCCTGGAGCCCTCCACCCTGATGTCCACTCTGCACAGCTCCCTGGACAGCCCTGGGCCTCCCCCTCCCTCCACAGGCCTGAGAATTTCTGCTGCCTGCCCAGGCAGGAAGACCAGGGAGATGGCTGGGTGTCTTATGCCTGTAATCCCAGTACTGTGGGAGGCCGAGGTGAGAGGATCATGAGGTCAGGAGTTCGAGACCATCCTGGCCAAAATGGTGAAACCCTATCTCTACTAAAATACAAAAAATTAGCTGGGCATGGTAGTGCCATGCCTGTAATGTCAGCTACCAGGGAGGCTGAGGCAGGGGAATCTTGAACCTGGGAGGCATTAGGCCAGAGAAATGCTGTGGGAGGTTGCAATGAGCCAAGGTCATCCGATTGCACTCCAGCCTGGAGACACAGCAAGACTGCGTCTCAAAAAAAAAAAAAAAAAAATACCAGGGAGAGAACAAGAGAAAGGGATGGTGGCAGGGGCAGCAGGGCCAGGGTAACCTCTCCCGCTCAGGGCCCAGCTCTGGTCTTTCCACAGGTACATTCCTCACCCTCCCAATATTTCTGCCCACCCAACTGCCAATTAGGAAGATGCAAAAGAGAAACTTCACTATCTTGTGGCTGGGTGTTATGCTCATGCCTGTAATCCCAGCACTTTCGGAGGCTGAGGCAGGCAGATCACTTGAGGTCAGGAGTTTGAGACCAGCCTGGCTAACATGGTGAGACCCCGTGTCTCTACTAAAAATACAAAAAAAGATTAGCCAGGTGTGGTAGTAGGTGCCTGTAAACCCAGTTACTCTAGAGGTTGAGGCAGGAGAATTGCCTGAACTGCCAGTTGGAGGTTGCAGTGAGCTGAGATGGCGCCACTGCACTCCAGCCTGGGTGATGAGTTAAACTCCGTCTTAAAAAAAAAAGGCAGAGAGAACAAAACTCTTCACCCCCAAATAATAGCTTTTAACCTTTCACCTCAGCTTCCTCCTGACATTTCACCTCTATATGATTATTTTTAAATGACGGTAGAACTGAATGCTGAGGCCCAGGCCACTTTTCTAAGTGCTTCAAGGTTCTGAGCTCATGTGATGCTGACCTGGGCCTGCAGGACCATTCCCATCTTACAGAGGGGGTGCCAGAGGCACAGAGAGGCAGGGTAACCTGCCCTGGACATGGAGCTGGGCTGATGGAGCTGAGGCCCCTTTCTAGGCCAGCCCTCTCCAGCCTCTGCATTCACCAGCCCTGCAGGAGGGAGCCGCTGGGGACTGGGCTCTCTTCTCACTACATTTTATTTTTATTTATTTATTTATTTATTGAGACGGAGTTTCGCTGTTGTTACCCAGACTGGAGTGCAATGGCACGATTTCGGCTCACCTCAACCTCCACCTTCTGGGTTCAGGCAATTCTCCTGCCTCAGCCTCCCGAGTAGCTGGGACTACAGGTGCCCACCACCATGCCCAACTAATTTTTGTATTTTTAGTAGAGACGGGGTTGCACCTTGTTGACCAGGATGGTCTCGATCTCTTGACCTCATGATCCACCCGCCTCAGCCTCCCAAAGTACTGGGATTATACGCGTGAACCACCACGCCCGGCCTTCTCACTACATTTTAAAATAAGAGCATTTCTCCTGATCATTGCGTTTTTCCTCTATATTCCATGTTACTGGTGGCATTATAAACGGTGAATGGCAGTCCTAGATGTAAGCTCTGACTGCCCATGAATGGCATGGTAATATCTCTGTGTACCCTGCACACACACCCCAGATGAGTTCCTGGAAGAAACGATCAACTCCTGCGATGCCTAACTAACCTGAGACATTCTTCTATTGTTTCTTTCTTCTTTTAAATTATCATACAGGCCAAAATGTCACTATTGTTTCTTCTTCCAGCCTCAATTGACAAGGCCATTGGACTTTGTGACTTTGTAACCGACCTTGGCCGACCTCGTGACTCCATGCCCTACGACCCCCTCCCAGCTTGCAAACCTACCACCCCCTCCCAGCTTGCAAACCTACGACCCCCTCCCAGCTTGCAAACCTACGACCCCCTCCCAGCTTGCAAACCTACGACCCCCTCCCAGCTTGCAAAACAACCTCCCTAAAGTTACTTCTGTAACTTTCCACTGTTTAACTCCAAACCTATAAAACCAACTCCTCTCCCTCCACCCTCTGCTGACTCCATTTTCGGCCTCAGCCTGGCTACACTTGGGTGAATAAACAGCCATGTTGCTCACACAAAGCCTGTTTGGGGGTCTCTTCATTCAGAGCTCCCGTTTTAACACTGGAGGAGGACTGTGTGTTTGGGGTCATCTGCAGCCTCCTGTGCCCACAGTGGAGACATCCTTGGAAGAGATGGTTTATCTTGTGCTTCAGAGACCATTCCCTCCCCCACACCCTCTCATAAGACTTTTTTTTTTTTTTTTGTGACTGAGTCTCCTTCTGTTGCCCAGGCTGGAGTACAATGGCGCAATCTCAGCTCAATGCAACTTCCACCTCCTGTGTTCAAGTGATTCTCCTGCCTCTGCCTCTTGAGTAGCTGAGATTACAGATGCCTGCTACCATGCCCGGCTAGTTTTTTGTATTTTTAGTAGAGATGAGGTTTTACCATGTTGGCCAGGCTGGTCTTGAACTCCTGATCTCATGATCCACCCGCCTCCCAAAGCGCTGGGATTGCACGCTTGAGCCACCACCCCCGGCCCAAGACTTTGTATTTCAGCAAAGTAAATCTTACAGAAAATCCATCAAAGCGCTGTGAACAAAAATGCCTGATTGCTCCAGTCATCCTTCGATTCAATTCTCCCAGTTCCAGAGCTTAGGAACGGTGGGAAGCACGTAGAGGGAGCACCCTCCCAGGGCAGGGAGCATCAGCCTGGCCAAGACTTTCAGGAGACAGTCTTAGCAGGAGGCCTGGGCTGGGGCAGGTGGGGGAGGTGGCCCATTCAGAAGCAGCAGTGAGGTGACCACACAGTGGGGCAAAGAGCCTGGCAGGGAGTGGGGGCAACAGAGGAGCCAGAGGGGAGGGAACCAGCCCAGGGGTGGGCCAGGGGCAGGGGGAGGCCAGGGCTAAGTCCCAGCAGGGCTACCAGGCAGGAGGGGACAGCTGTACCTGGTCTGAGGCTTCATCTGTGGCCAGCTAGTCCCAACCATGATCTTTGTCTGAACCACTAAGGTTTCACTTTCGGCAACAGGCTCCAGGTTTTAGGACAGCCCTCCTTAAAGTGACCACGCCCAGGACCTTGTGAGTCATGGTCCCTCCCCCTCCCAGCTCAGGCTCTGCTTCGGGAGAATCCCGAGTGCTTTATCTTCCTGGGCTCCACCCTCTTTCTTTCTCAGAGATCCTCCCCCTGGCAGAGAGACCTCTGATAAAGCGGACTGCTCTCTGCGGCAGGACCCAAGGAAATCGCAAAGGGAAAAAGAGAAAGTCATTTCAGCCAGAGCTGGGGAGGTGGGTCCACACTAGGCTGAGCCAGCAGAGCAGAGGCCCCTCCCTGGTGGTCCGGGTCAGCTGGAGCCACCTCTCCACCATCAAGACAGACAGGCTGAAGCCTCTGCAGGGACTCCTGGATCCTGTTCTCAACGATCATCCCAGAGACACCCCACCCAGCCGCCGTGGGGACAAGGAGGGAGAGTGAAGGGCCAGGTGTCTACATCCCTCCCCATGCCTTCACACTCGGAGACCAGCATGGGAGGGAGGGACAGCAGGTGGGTGTGGCCCCCAGCTGGCCCACCAGGATGTCATGGGCACTCCCACACTGAGCTCCTTCCTTCTGGCTTCTCCTTCTTCTGCTTCTCCTGCCTGGAGTTCCTCCCTGGTGGGCTGAGCTCTTGCCTCCTCCTGTCCCATGTCATGAAAGGGCAGCGGCTGGTGTCCCAGGCCAACCTGTCTGGAGCCTCCCTGTGCATCTCACAGCTCCCTTCCCCAAGTAGTGTGCTCCCGTGGTGCAGCTAACGAAACATTTCACAACGTATAAATTCGGAAAGGAGACTTACTTCCTGTTAAGGGTGACAGCCTGCAAGGCAGCCATCCGGCAGGCCGGGAAGAGCAGCCTCTAGGAAACACGAGAGACAGACCTTTAGAAGCAGGTGGGGTTGGGGCAGGAGCTTTATGCTGAAGGGGTTGGCCAAACATACATATTCAACAGGATATGGGAGGAGCTAGGAATATTCATGCCGGTGGTTGTGCTCCCTGCTTGTTAAACAGACATGCCTGTAACATATGATCCCGGCTGGGCATGGTAGCTCACGCCTGTAATCCCAGCACTTTGGGAGGTCGAGGCAGGTGGATCACGAGGTCAGGAGTTTGAAACCAGCCTGGTCAACATAGTGAAACCCTGTCCCTACTAAAAATATAAAAATTAGCTGGGTGTGGTGTCCCACGCCTGTAATCCCAGCTATTTGGGAGGCTGAGGCAGGAGAATTGCTTGAACCTGGGAGGCGGAGGTTGCAGTGAGCCGAGAGCATGCCATTGCACTCCAGCTCTGGTGACAGAGTGAGACTCTATTTCAAAAAAAAAAATTAGTATTTCATTTTATTCTTTTACATAAAGTTTAAGGCCGGCCATGAACAGCAGGATCACCTCTGTGATCTGCACGCACACCCCGGTGAGTCCCTGTAAGAAACCATCAACCCCTAACCCCTGCTGCACATAACTACCCTGAGACATTATTCTATTGTTTCTTATTCCCGCCTCAATTGACAAAGCCAGCGGACTTTGTAACCGACCTTGACTCCACACCCTACAACCCCCTCCCAGCTTGCAAACCTATGACCCCCTCCCAACTTTCAAAAAACATCCCTAAAGTAACTTTTGTAACTTTCCACTGCCTTTTTTGTAACTTTCCCCACAACCTATAAAATCAACTCCTATCCCACCGCCCTTTGCTGACTCCATGTTCGGCCTCAGCCCGTCCACACCCGGACGAATAAACAGCCATGTTGCTCACACAAAGCCTGTTTAGGGATCTCCTCATTCAGAGCACACGTTTTAACATGAAGCCAATTCAATTCATCACCGGATGAGTAGGTTTGAAACCTTTCTGAGCAGTCTCACTACTGTATTCCTGAAATATCGCATACATTTTTGATTAAAAGTAATTCTCCCTGTTAGGGACAAGCTGCCTCAGAAACCCCCTCCACGAAAGCTGAGCCCTGCACACTCTGGTGCTCCGCAGCTGCATTTCTGAACTCCTATCCGGGTGCCAGGTCAAGGCTGCAAAGCCTGATTACAGCCATCCGGGCAGCTTGGGAGAGGACAGGGGAAAACCAGTGTTTGCTATCCACACTTGTAAATTCCTGCTTAAAACATATCTGTAAAACCCTGATTTTTTAAAAAACTGCCCCCACAAAAGTCACAGGATGATGTATTGTAAGTAGGTCACAAGTTAACAAAATATCTCTGCCTGTTACAAGCGGATAGATTATCTCAGTCCCGAAACTCCCTTATGCTCCTCTCACCCCATATAAACCCCTCGTTTTATAAGCTCGGGGCTGCCTCCTCCGACTGTTGTGGGGCAGCCCGGCCGGTTAATAAAACATGCTCGCCTGACTTGGGGTCTTTTCTCCTTTCACTACACTAACCTTACACGCTCTGATTTTTAAAATAATCTACTTGTCAGGAGCGCATTGCTTTGCTGGCGTCTGTGATCAGCTGGAGATGGCGGTGAATAGCCCGGTTGCATTTCTTGGAAGAAGATCTTTTATTCCGCTGCTCAGCCCAGGTCTCTGCCTTCCTTAGAGACTGAGGATCATTCATCAGTTTCCCTGATTCAGGAAGAGCAGGGGAGTTGAATGGAGCAGGGGGTGAGAGAGTGGAAAGAGGGCACAGGAGGAGGCCTGGGGACAGGGACAATGACGGGAGAGGAGAGGGGGATGGAGGAGGTGGGGGAGAGAGGGAGGCTGTGAGGAGGAAAGGGAGAGACAGCATTGGGTGCCCTGGGGGGAGCAGGGAACCCAGAGGAGGCTCTGAGCAGAGGGGAAGGCAAGGCCCAGGGGAGAGGGGAGGAGGGGAGGCCCATGGGGCACTGGGCAGAGGGAGGAAGCCCTCACCTGGAGAATGGCCTGCAGCCTCCCACTCAGGGCTTGGCTGTGCTCATCTAGGCCCTCCCAGGGCTGGAAGGGGTGTCCCTGGTGATCCACAAAGGTGTCCCAGCAGTGACTAAACTCTGAAACAGGACAGGGGAGATAAGTCCCGTTCCCCTGACTCTCAGGACAGACTCCCACATGCAGGTTTGAGTCCCTCCTTTCCCTCCCCTTCCCCTCAGGACTTCGCTCTGGTATTAGCCACTTCCTTCCCATTGGAATCTGGGCCAGGGAGAAGAGCAGGGGCCTCCCCAGAGGGCCTGAGCACAGGGAGCTGACCCTGGGAGACCCTGACAAGGCCCCAACAGGCCCCAGGGCTGCAGGGATCTCCCAGTGAGCCCCAGAAGGGGTCAGAGGGAAGGTTTGGAGGCTCCAGCAAGTGAGCGGGAGCCCTTCCTGATAGGTGCCAAGGGGTGTGGGCAATGGGAAAAGAGTGTGGGTGCGAGGGAGGAAGCCTGGGGATGGAGGGGAGGCAGGAGGGGTTCTCATTCTTCTGGAAGCCCCAAGTCCTTCTTCCAGCCACCCTCCTCGCCCTCCTCAGGCCCCCATCTCCTGGCCTCTCTCTTCCCATAGACCCCAAAGTCAGGCTCAGTGTGCAGCCCTCGCCTCTGCAGACAGCAGACCAAGGCCTCTCCCCCAGGGATGCCCGCCCTCCCCACTTTCTAGTAACTCCTGAGGGCCCTCTCCTGCCCCGGCTGACCCCACCCCACTCCCGGCTTCCATTCTCACCACTGTATTTCATCATGGAAATTGGGGCCCCAGCCCAGCTCAGCCTGCACAGCCCCTCCTCATATCCTGGGCGATAATCATAAATGCGGGCAGCGAAGATGCGCAGGTTCACGTGTGGGTTCTCTTGAAGGAATTCAGCCACCTCCTGGGCACAGCAGAAGCAGGGGCTCCAGGAGATGAAGCAGGTGACCCTGTAGCGCTGGGCCGGGTCCAGCTTCCAAAACAAAATGAGGTCCAGGAGGCACAGCTCTGCATGGCGGCCTTCAGGGAAACTGAGACTATTTGAAGCCTAGAAAAGAAAGCAAGGTGTGCGGTGTCTTTTGTGAGCAGGGAGGGACAGCCCGGATCAGAGAGGCTGGGTGCGGGGCAGCCTCCAACACAAGATTAGAAGGGGCACCAAACCCTAGTTATCAAGATGATTTTCTTTTCTTATTTTTCTTTTTTTGAGACAGAGTCTGGTTCTGTCACTCAGGCTGGCGTGCAGTGCTCCGATCTTAGCTCACTGCAACCACCGACTCTTGGGTTCAAGCGATTCTCGTGCCTTAGCCTCCTCAGTAGCTGGGATTACAGGCGCTCACCACCACACCTGGCTAATTTTTGTATTTTTAGTAGAGACGAGGTTTCATCGTCTCCAGCTCATGACATCAAGTAATCCTCTGACCTTGGCCTCCCAAACTGCTGGGATTACAGGTGTGAGCCACCAAACTTGACCTGACTTTTAAAATAATACATTAAATCATTTTATTTTAGATTATGGTGCAGTTTCTCTGATACTGAGTATTTGGAGCATCTTCTCATTTTGCACCTGAGGTCAGTGCCTTCACGACCCTCACTCTGGGCCCAGGAGGGGCTGCAGAGCTAGGGGAGGGAGGACAGATGCCAATGAGCTGCATGTTCGTCCCTCGTGGGGAGACTGTTCTGGCCTTGCTGTGGGCTCCACCCTGGTCAGGACAGAATCTCTGATCGGCCTCTCCTGCCTCAGTCTCTCTCCCCACGGGATGTAGCCCAGGAGCAGGCAGTGGGGAATCCTGGCCTTGTGAGGTCAGGGAGGCCCTGACCCTCAAATCCCACCGTTTTAATGATTCCTGGTGAGAGCTGCGTCTGTGAGGGATCCTGGGAGGGTCTCAGGAAGCACTTTGCCTTTGACCCCACCTGGCCCTAATGCAGACCCTTTTCCTCTGCCCGGACCCTCTCAGAGCACAGCAGGAGGGGGGATGGCTGAGCCCTGGACCTGGGGGTGACTCTGGACTAGTGGTGCCCCTGAGACACATGGCCGGTTAGGTATGTGGGGCTGGAAGCTGCTGATCCTGGAGAGTCACTGAAGCCGAGGTCTCCCCGAACCCCAGGCCCAAGCAGCAGCAGTGCAGGAAGCACAGGTGACAGACAGTCTGAGGGACCCCACAGGTCCCACCCGGAACCTTCTAGCCATGTGTGTCCCTCAGTGGGGAGGGCCCTGCGTGGATGCGGGTGTTTGGTGATCACCTCGTTGAGTATGAAGCCCCTGTGCTGGTGCAGCGGGACCCAGGTGCCACTGTGCAGGTGCTCTACCTCGTAACACAGGTAGGTCTGGTGCCGTCCAAGGACCAAAGGGTCATTGTTAAAGTTGTAAGTGAATGTGTCTGGATCCATCAGGTCTCTGTGGACAGCGGGAGAAAAGCCCAGAAAAGTAAAAGCCCTCCTGGACTGCCCCGCCTCCCCCTCCTTCCCCACGCTTTCCCTCAGGCACCCCAAATTCCTTCCCCCTGCTCCCCACATCCCTTGGCACCCACCGCTCAGGAGGGGCTCCGCTCACGTGCTGGAATCTCCAAACCTCCCCCTCTCAGGGGGCCCCTTCTGGGGCTCACTGGGACATCCCTGCAGCCCTGGGGCCTGTCGGGGCCTTGTCAGGGTCTCCCAGGGTCAGCTCCGTGTCCTCAGACCCTCTGGGGAGGCCCCTGCCCCTCTCCCTGAGCTAGAGCTGGGTCTCCTTCCCCGGCCTCACCATGCAACCCAGTCCTGGCTCTGCTCACCCTCAGTCCCTGCTGGAGATGGACCCGCTGGGGCTTCCCTCCTGCAAGTGGGGTTAATATTACCACACCCAGCATCGGGGCAGAGACGCTCCTGAGTGGGACCAGCAGGAGAGCCTGCTAGGGACTGTTTTTGGATAATTCACAGGATTCTTCTGTTGCCCAAAAAACACGTGTCCTCACAAGACCACACGTTATGAAAATAGAAGTGAACTCTCAGCCCCAGTGCAGAGGCTCTTCCAACACAGAAGTGCCAGGGCTTCTCCCTGGACTGGACAGAGGGGAGGACGAGACCTCTGATGGGACTCTGCAGAGCCTGGGACCGGGAGGAGTCTGGCTGGGGAAGCCAGGGGCATCAGCCGAGGGGTCACGTGGGGACCCCTAAAGAGGCCCAGAGAGAGTGACAAGAGGAGCAGCCAGGGGCAGGGAGCCTGTCGGGGCTAAGGAGCGGCTCAGGAGTGTGGGGTGCAGGAGGAATGGGGTGGGTGGAGCACGCAGGAAGGTCTGGGTGGAGGGGCTGTGAGGGTCAGGTCAGGACCCCTGGAAGACACACACACAGGACAGGAACCCCTCCCTCGCCCCCCAGGCCCGCCCACAATGGCTGTGCCTGTTGCCATGGGCTGCACTGTTTCTCCCCAAAATCAACATATGGAGGTCCCAACCCCCACTGTAAGGTCTGACCGCCCCTTGGACGGCGTGGTCACCTCTGTGACCCACAGGTACGCCTCTGAAGGGCCTTCTGCAATTAGAAAACCTGAAGACCACGAAAAGTGAAAAAACAGTGGACCCCTGAGGCGCTTAACTAACTTGAGACGTTCTTCTATTATTTCGATCCTGGCCTTAATTGACAAGGACTTTGGACTTTGGACCTGACTTTGGTCAACCTCGGCCCTAGGACCCCCTCCCATGTTGCAAGAAACCACCATAAACTGTAACTTCTGTAACTTTCTACTGTTGACCTCAAACCTGTAAAACCAACTCGTATCCCACCACCCTCCGCTGACCCTTCGGACTCAGCCCACCCGCACCCGGTGAATCAACAGCCATGTTGCTCACACAAACCTTGTTTGGGGGTACATTTTAACCCCGGCTACCTCAAAGTGTGCTTGTATTTGGAACAGGTCCTTTCTTTTTTGTTTGAGAAGTTTCGCTCTTTCACCCAGGCTGGAGTTGGGTGGCACAGTCTGAGCTCATGGTAATCTCCGCCTCCCAGGTTCGAGCGATTCTCCTGCCTCAGGATCTTGGGTATCTGGGATTATAGGTGCGCACCAGCACCACGCCTGGCCAATTTTCATATTTTTGGTATGAAAATTCACATGTTGGCCAGGCTGGTCTCGAACTCCTGACCTCAAGTGATCCACCTCCCTTGGCTCCCAAAGTGCTAGGATTACAGGCATGAGCCCCCACGCCCTGCTTGGAGACAAGTCCTTATATCAGGACCTTAATTTAAATGAGACCTTTAGTGTGGGCCCAAATTCACTTGACTAGGGTCCATAAATGAGGAGGACATTTGGGGGCAGAGAGACCCCAGGGGTGTAGGTATACAGAAGAAAGACCGGAAGGGACCCCTGTGAGCCAGGAAGAGCAGCCTTGGAGGCAGCTCCTTCTCAGGGGCTCAGGACCAGCCTTTAAGAATGTTGCTCAAAGCTTCCAGTTGTCCGGCTCGTGAATATTCACACCATTTATGATAAATTCAGTTATGCCAGGGAGATGGAAGGAGCAGGTTGGGGCTCCCAGGCTGAGGGGAGGGCGACCTCAGGGGTGGACGGAAGTCACTCGGGGGGCAGAAGGGGCCTCTCGCTCACAGGAAGGGCCCAGGAAAGCAGGGGAGACAACAAGGTGGAGGGAGCAGAGATGGGGGTGAGGGTGGGGGTGAGGGGGTGTGACCATGAGGGCAGGAAGTGGGGCGGGAGGGCTCAGCCAAGAGGGGACCTGCTCTGGGACAGAGGGGAGGCCGCAGGAGGATGAGCAGGAGGTGAGAGGAGAGAGGTGTTGAGGCTGGAGAGAGACTCTTACCTGAGAACCTCCCCCAGGGTGATGCGCAGTAATGTATAATTTTTAGGCAGCTCATTCCAAGGAGCGAATGTCTCTGTTTTGTTGTCCACAAACTTGTCCCAACAATGTTGAAATTCTGAGAAAAAGAAGAGAGAACGCAGTCAGGCCCAGCTGGCCTCTCTCCTGTGACCCTGGGGCCCTCCCCTCCCAGACCTACTCCGGGATGTTAGTTACACTCAGTGCCGGACCTGACCCCACAGGCTTCCCTGGGACACTTGGCCTCTGCTGCCATCACAGACCCACCCATCGCAGACCCTCATGCACTCCCTCCCACACCCCTGAACCCCTACTTCTCACCGCCATAACTCATGATCTTCATGGTGGCATGTGGACTGTCTCTTCTCTGACACAGTCTGCGAAGCTCCTCCCGGTAACGTGGGATCCAGAAGTAGTAGAGGCGGGCCACAAAGATGGTCAGAGTGACCTTCCCATCCTCAGTCAGGAACTCGGCCACATTCCTTGCACACACTGGGCAGGGGCTCCAGGACACAAACCAGGTGACCTCGTACTCCTGGTCACTATGCAGCTTCCACTTTCGGAACCAATGGAGGAATCTCATCTCCGCGTGGTGTTGAGGCTTCAAATAGACCTGGGAGAAGAGGAGGGGGCAGGGGAAGCTGTGGGACACTGAGCAGGAGGAGTGCAGGGGTGGGGCAGGGGGAGGAGGGGCCCGGACAGCCCAGGGGATCTTGTTCACTGAAGCTCCTTTCCTCCATCCCCCTTCTTTGGTTTGAGAGTCTGTCTGCTCCAAAGCTCATGTTCAGTGTTAATTGCTATTGCAATGGCCTTAAGAGATGGCACTGACACTAGACTATGAGGCTGTGGGTGCCGGCCCCACTGGATGGTTACCACTGGGGTGGTTATTCAAGGGTGACTTCAGCCCCTCTCTCTGTCTCTTCCCCTCCAGCTGGAGGGGCAGCGTGTCAGACTAAACTCCTGCTTCCTCTGTCCCCTGTGGTGGAGCAGCAGTGACTCCACATCCCAGGCCGCTCTGTCTGCAGCATCCCCTGAGCTTCCCCAGCAACCTTCACCCCAACGTGACAGTGCAGCTCGCAGGCCCCGGAAACTTGCTGGTGCCTTGACATTGGACTTCCCAGAGTCCAGAACTGGAGCCAACACATTTCCGTTCATTGTAAATTTCCCCGTCTCAGTCATGCTGTTGAAGCATCACCGGGTGCACTAAGACACATGCTTCCCTTCTGTTGGTAGTTTTCCTAGCCCTGTTCATGGCCTCATGCGTGAATTCTGGCATCCATTCTCCCAGGCATTCGTTCACCAGACATGCTCAGCCCCTGCTGTGTCCTGGCCCTCTGGGGTCGGCCTCGTTCCCTGCCTGCTGTCTACTGGGGAGGCCACTGGACCTGTGCTGTCCCATGTCGGGAGGGGGGCACTGGCCACGGGGGCTACAGAGCACTTAAAATGGGGCCTGATGAGAGACCTGTGCACAGGAAAAATATACCACTCTTTTGAGAGTGAGAAGAATAAAAAACTTCACTATCTGGTGAAGAACTTTTGTTTGTTTGTTTTTGAGATGGAGTCTCACTCTGTCGCCCAAGCTGGAGCGTACGGTACAATGTTGACTCACCGCAGCCTCCACCTCCTATATTCAAGAGATTCTCCTTCCTCAGCCTCCCAAGTAGCTGGGATTACAGGTGCCTGCCAGTACACCCAGCTAATATTTGTATTTGTATTTGTATTTTTTTTTGAGAGGGAATATTACTCTGTTGCCCAGGCTAGAGTGCAATGATGTGATCTCGGCTCACTGCAACCTCTGCCTCCCGGGTTCAAGCAATTCTCCTGCCTCAGTCTCCTGAGTAGCTGGAATAACAGTCACATGTCACCACGCCAGGCTAATTTTTGTATTTTTTAGTAGAGATGGGGTTTCACCATGTTGGTCAGGCTGGTCTCGAACACTTGACCTCATGATTCTCCCGCCTCGGCCTCCCAAAGTGCTGGGATTACAGGCGTGAGAGCCCACGCCCAACCAGTAGGATTTTTATTTGTTTGTTTGTTTGTTTTGTTTTCTGAGATGAAGCCTGGCTGTCACCCAGGCTGGAGAGCAGTGGCATGATCTCGGTTCATTGAAACCTCCGCTTCCCAGATTCAAGCAATTCCTTGCCTCAGCCTCCCGAGTAGCTGGGATGACAGGTAGGCACCACCACACCCAGCTAAATTTGTACTTTTGAGTAGAGATGGGGTTTCGCCATCTTGGCTAGGCGGGTCTTGAACTCCAGCCTCGTGGTTCACCCGTCTTGACCTCCCAAAGTGCTGGGATTACAGGTGTGACCTGCCACACCTGGCCAAGAAGAATTGTATGTTAATTAATGCTGAAGTAATACATTAGCTATAGTGGACTAAATAAAATATTTGTTTGCCAGTTCTGGTCGCCTTTGAGTGTGTGGAGACTGGAAACTCTTGCACTTCACTTCTGAGTCCTGGGTGTTTCTTCGGCCAGCACTGCCGTTGGTCAGACCTGCTCAGCACACGGACGGCTTCCTCCCCAAACACACTGAGAAGTCTCGTGCCTGGGTGGAGGGGGCTGCAGGGGTGGGTGGGAAAGTCAAGGGTTTTAGTGTCCCGAGTGGGGGCGGCAGGGTGAGGAGTGAGGGTTCACCCTGTGATGATACCTTGGCATGGAGGAATCGGGGCAGTGGCCAGGCAGTCAAGCCAAAAGGTCTGGGCCACGGACTTAAGAAATGTAGGAAGTAGAGGCTAGGCTCCGTGGCAGACACCTGTAATCCCAGCACTTTGGGAGGCCAACGTGGGCAGATCACGAGGTCAGGAGTTCAAAATCAGCCTGGCCAACATGACAAAACCCTGTCTCTACTAAAAATACAAAAAATCAGCCAGTCATGGTGGTGGGCACCGGTAATCCCAGCTACTCGGGAGGCTGAGGCAGGAGAATCACTTGATCCTGGGAGGCAGAGGTTGCAGTGAGCCGAGACCACGCCATTGCACTCCAGCCTGGGCAACAAGAACAAAACTCTGTCTCAAAAAATGACGAAGAAATATGGGAAGTGGCCCAGTGCAGTGGCTCATGCCTGTAATCCCAGCACTTTGGAAGGGATCTCAACTCCTGAATCACCTGAGGTCAGGAGTTACAGATCAGCCTGGCCAACATGGCGAAACCCTGTCTCTACTGAAAATAGAAACATTAGCTGGGTATGGTGGCGGGATCCTGTAATGCCAGCTACTCCGGAGGCTGAGGCAGGAGAATTGCTTGAACCTGGGAGGCAGAGGTGACAGTGAGCCAAGATCATGCCATTGTACTCCAGCCTGGGTGACAGAGCAAGACTCTGTCTCAAAAATAAAAATAAAAAATAAAAAAAGGAATGTGGGAAGAAACAGGCAATTGAAAGCCCACCGCCGCCGCACATTTTACTTAGTCTTATGTTTTCTGCATTCCCAGCTGCTTAGATCCTGCCTGTGATCCGATGGAAGTTTGGGTGGTACCTGGCCTCGAAAGACCCCTGTGTCCCAAGGGAGTTTTGAGGGGTCCTTGTTTATCTTCACTTCGTAGCACAGCCAGCTGTAGGACCGACCAGGGAGGACGGGTTCATTTTCAAAGTTGTAGTAGAAGGTGCCTCGATACATCCGCTCCATGGGATTTCTGAGGGCACAAGAGAGAAAGGGCCCTGCACAGAGCGCTCCCCGGAGTCTCGGGGCCTATGTCCACTCAACACAGCTCCCGGACGGCCCTGGGCCTCCCCCACCCCTCCACAGCCCTGAGGGTTTTTGCTGCCTCCCAAGCAGAAAGACTGAGGAGACAGGAAGAGGAGATGATGGTGGCAGGGGCAGCAGGGCCGGGTGACCTCTCCCCACTCAGGCCCCAGGGCTGGTCTTTCCAGGGGTACCTTCCCCACCCTCCAGTATTTCTGCCCACCCACTCCCCAACCCATTAGGAAAATGCAAAGGAGAATAAAATGCCTCACCCCAAAATAATAGCTTTTAACCTTTCAGCTCAATTCCTTCCTGATGCTTCACCTCTGCATGTTAACAGTATTCATATTTGTATTTTATTTTATTTTGAGACAGAGTTTCACTCTTGTTGCCCAGGCTGGAGTGCAGTGGTGAGATCTGGGCTCACTGCAACCTCCACCTCCCAGGTTCAAGGATTCTCCTGCCTCAGCCACCTGAGTATCTGGGATTATAGGTACGTACCACCGTACCCGGCTAATTTTGTATTTTTAGTAGAGACAAGGTTTCACCATGTTGGTCAGGTGGGTCTCGAACTCCCGACCTCGGATGATCTGCCTGTCTCAGTCTCCCAAAGTACTGGGATTACAGGTGTGAGCCACTGCGCCTGACTAACATTATTATTATATTTATTTATTTTGAGACAGAGTCTTGCTCTGTTGCCAGGCTGGAGTGCAGTGGCGAGATCTGGGCTCACTGCAATCTCCACCTCCGGGGTTCAAGTAGGAACCCAGGAACTCTGCCTCCTGCCTCAGCTTCCCGAGTAGCTGGGACTACAGGCACCCACGACCACACCCAGCTAATTTTTGTATTTTAGTAGAGACGGGGTTTCATCATGTTGGCCAGGATTGTCTCGATTTCCTGAGCTGGCGATCCACCCCAGTCGGCCTCTCAAAGTGCTGGGATTACAGGCGTGAGCCACTGTGCCCAGCCAATATTATTTTAAAGTCATGGTAGAACCGAATTCCAAGGCCCAGGTCATTCCTCTAAGTGCTGCAAGATTCTGAGCTCATGTGATGCTGACCTGGGCCTGCAGGGGCCATTCCCATCTTACAGAGGAGGTGCCAGAGGCGCAGAGAGGCAGGGTAACCTGCCCAGGACATGGAGCTGGGCGATGGAGCTGGGGCCCCTTTCCAGGCCAGCCCTGTCCAGCCTCTGCATCACAGGCCCTGCAGGAGGGAGCCGCTGGGGACCCGCTCTCTGTTCATTCAATCTTAAGAGCATTTCTCCTGATCATTGCGTTTTTTCTCACATTCCATGCTACTGGTCATGTTCTACAAGATGAAGAGTGACCTTGGACTGGAACCTTTGTGGGGGGACATCTGCTCACCCTGGAGTCATCCTTGGGCGACAAGATTTATCTTGTGCTTCAGAGACCATTCCCTCCCAACACCCTCTCGTAAGACTTTGTATTTAAGCAAAGTAAATCTTACAGAAAACCCACCAAAGCTCTGTGAACAAAATGCCGGATTGCTCCCATCATCCCTTGGTTCAGTTCTCCCCATTCCAGAGCTGAGGAATGGGGGGAAGCACGCAGAGGGAGCACCCTCCCAGGGTCACCGGCTCAGCTATGACTTTCAGGGTGGAGAACTTTGCAATGGGAGCCACCATAGATCAGTCTGAACAGGGGAGTCTGAGCTGGGGCAGGTTGGGGAGGCGGCCCATTCAGAAGCAGCAGTGGGGCGACCACAGGGCAGAGCAAAGAGCCTGGCTGAGAGCGGGAGTGACACAGGAACCAGAGGGGAGGGATCCCAAGGCGAGGGATGGGCAGGGGCAGAGGAGGCCAGGACTGAGGCCCAGTAGGGGAAGGGGCAGAAGGGATCTGCAGACAGAGCAGGCAACCTACCCGATCTGTGGATTCATGCCCAGCCGCTTTGCTAGGCTTGTCGCAGTCCCGCTCTTTTTCAAAGCTCTGTGGTTTCACTTTCCGCTTACAGTATCTTGCAGCTGGACAGCCCTCTTAAAGTGACCTCGCAGGGCCTTGTGAGTCCTGGCACCTCCCCATTCCTGCTCAGGCACTGGTGTGGGAGGCCCTCGGGTGCTTTACCTTTCTCTGGCTCTGGCCCTCCTTCTGGTTTTCTCCGGGTCCCTCCCCCTGGCAGAGGAACCGCTCATAAAGACAGGTTGCTCTGTCTTTGTTTTGGGCAGGAGCCAAGGCCAAGACATTGCAGAACGGCATTGCAGCCAGAGCCCGGGAGGTGGGTTCAGACCAGGCTGAAAGAGAGGCAGGTGCCCCCTCACCTGGTGGATGGGCAGGCTGGAGTCCCCTCTGCACCACCCCCTGCCCAGCCCTAATGTCTGTCCAGAGTTTGGAGCAGCAACTCCCAGGTGAGTGGGGGAAGGTTTTGAGACTCCAGTGGCGAAGGAAGCACAGACTCTGCACAACAGAAACGAAGGCTGATGTGCCTTGAGTCCCCAGCTGTGTGCTGGCTCCTTCACACACCTCCCTCTTCCAACCTCCCAGCTTCCAGAGGGTGGGGGGCAGGTCAGCCCCTCAGAGGGATTGTGGTGTCTGTAACATCAAGGAGGGGAGGGGGGTGTCTACAAACAGGCTCACTGCCCACAGGGACCTCTTAAGGGGTTCCCTGTGAACCAAGAACATGCAAAACACACACACACACACACACACACACACACACACACACAGCTTTCTGATTATTTAAGTCCATCCAAGCATATTTTGAAGGAATGCATGTACATTGCATCCTTGAAATAATCTTCCTGAATAGATTGCTTTAAGGCGAGTCTGTTCCTTTAAGGGGAGTCTGTTCCAGTGGGAGAAGCTGTGCTCTCTGTAGAGGCTCTGAACTCCTCTACAACCTGCAGGCAGATACCGAGGAGGCTGAATGGGGCTGGGCGAGCAGCAGCGCCCCTACCTGCATGGAAGCTCATCTTCCCTCTGCACAAAGTGGACTCCTGATGATGGTTTTTTTAAGGTGAAGGTTTCTGTTGCCATCAGAAACAGATGGACAAGCTGAGCGCAGTGGCTCACACCTGTAATCCCAGCACTTTGGGAGGCCAAGGCGGGCAGATCACCTGAGGTCGGGAGTTTGGGACCAGCCTGACCAATATGGTGAAATCTCGTCTCTACTAAAAATACAAAATTATCTGGACATGGTGGCACCTGCCTGTAATCCCAGCTATTCAGGAGGCTGAGGCAGGAGAATCACTTGAACCTGAGAGGCAGAGGTTGCAGTGAGCCAAGATCAAGATATTGTACTTCAGCCGGGGCAACAAGACCAAAATTTTAGCTCCAAAAACAAAACAAAAAAATAAACTGATGGACAAAGGATAAGAGCATCCGTGTGAAATCAGCAGTTCCGTTAACCAGAGACATACTTGGAACAAGAAAATATGATAATGACCCTAGACCAGGGAGGCCTGAAACCCAGCTCTAAGGGGGCAGTCAAGGCACAGAGGGGCAGGAACCCAGCTCTGCAGCCAGGTAACTCTGAGATCTGCCCCTTCCTTACAACGTGACCCTAATGTCTCTGGGCCTGTAATATTTCTCATCTGCAAACAGACCTAATAATACCCAGCTTATAGGGTTATGGGGAAGATAAAAATGTGAAACTTTATGTAAAGAACTTAGCACAGTAGCTAGAGTGTTAATAGAATGGAGAAATGATGGTTATTATCATTAATCACACTACATTTTATTTATTCAATTTGATTTCTTTATTTTGAGAGGGAGTCTTGCTCTGTCACCTAGGCTGGGGTATAATAGCACGATCTCACCTCACTACAACCTCGGCCTCTGGAGTTCAAGGAATTCTCCCGCCTCAGCCTCCCGAGTAGCTGACATTGTAGGAATGAGCCACCACACCTGATTAAATTCTTTTGTATTTTTAGTAGACATGGGGTTTCACCATGTTGGCCAGGTTGGTCTCAAACTCCTGACCTCAAGTGATCCTCTCACCAGCCTCCCAAGGTGCGGGGATTACAGACATGAGCCACTGCACCCAACCTGTGTTGACTTTAGTAAGATTTGGTTTTCCTGGGGAGATGGGAAGAGCCAGGTTGGGGCGCCAGGCTGGGGGAATGTGTTCTAAAGGGGTGGATGGAGCTAGCCATGGAGGCAGAAAGGGGCCTCTGCAGGAGGAGCTGGGGAGAGCTGGGAGGAGGCAGTGAGCACTGTGGAATGGGCCTGAGGGCAGGAGGAGCTCAGGATGACCCGGCAAAAGCAAAGCTGGTCCAGGATGGGTTGGAGGCCCTCGCAGGAAGAGCAGGAGGCTAGAGCAGCCAGACCGGGAGGCCCAGGGAGACCCTTCACTGGAGAATCTCCTGTAGCGTTCTGTACAGGGATAGAGAGTTGCATCGAAGTCTCTTCCAAGGCTTGAATGTCTGACCATCATTGTACACAAAGTTATCCCAACAATATTTAAAATCTGAAACAAAAACCAGGAGAAAGCAGTGAGGGCCCAGCAGGCCTCTCTCCCCAGCACTGGGTCCTCCCCTCCCAGGCCTTGTCTCCTGGCTGCCAGTTGCAGTCAGCACCGGCCTGTCCCCACAGGTTCCTCAGGGACACTGCCCCACCCCACGGCATTGCAGACCCACCTGTCCCTCATGCCATCCCCTGCCACCCGCTCTCCTCAGCCCTGTACATCTCACCTTCATAGGGCATGATCAGCACGGAGGCCCCTTCCTGACTCAGCCTGCGGAGCCCCTGCTGGAAACCCGGATTCCAGAAGTAGTAGAGGCGTGCAGTGAACATGGTGAGCCTCACGTTTCTGTGCCTGGCCAGGAACTCGGCCACCTGCCCTGCACACTCTGGGCAAGGGCTCCAAGAGGCGTACCAGGTGACCTCGTAATCCTTGTTAGGAGACAGCATGTTGTGGCAGAACCAAGAGAGGAAGCACATTTCTGCATGACAGGAGGGATCAGGACCCACCTAGGGAAGGAGGCGGGTGGGGAGAGCTCAGACCAGGAACAGGAGGAGTGCAGGGGTGGGGCGATGGGAGCAGAGGGCAGGCCAGGAACCCCAAGGCCTTTTCTTCTTGATGTATTTTTGAGACAGGGTCTCTCTCTATTGCCCAGGCTGGGGTGCAGTGGTGAGATCTGGGCTCAGTGCAGCCTTGACCTCCCAGCACAAGGAATCTTCCCACCTCAGCCTCCTGATTAGCTGGGGGTGCAGGTGGGTGCCACCACTCCTGGCTTATTATTTTTTTGTGGAGACGGGGTTTTTGCCATGTTGCCCAGGCTGATCTAGAACTTTTGGGCTTGAGCGATCCTCCTGCCTCAGCCTCCCAAAAATCTAGGACAATGACTGTAAACCACCATGCATGGGCTTATTTATTTATTTTAATTTTTAAGGGCCCAGAGGTCCCCTGGGAATAAGGGCCCAAATGCGAGCGGTGGGGAAGGAGCGGGGAGGCCCGGAGGGTTCCCGGGGTGGGGGGGGGGTCCATGCGCCGCCACTTACCGCGGAGACCAGCCTCCTGCTCCCCCATCACCGGGAAGCCACCACTGCTTCTCCGAAGCTCGCTGGGACGGCGCAGCCACTTCCGGACGCCATCGCTTCTGCTCGCTGGGACGTCGACTTCGCTTCTGCTCACTAGGACTACGCCCCCGACTCTGGCCGCCGCTTTCGCTAGGAGCCGCATCGCCGCTGCTTCCGTTCCTTTTAACGACGCAGCGGCTTCTTCCCGGGCCCCACGAAAAGCGCCATCTCGGCTTCCGTAGAGGCGCGCACGCCCGCAGCGTCCCTAGCGACTGGCTGACGCACCACCCCCTCTTAAAGGGGCCGCGGCTCGGACTGCACAGGAGCAGCTTCGCGTTGCGGCACAGACCGAGCCTCTGCCCAGCCCCAGCTGTGGACGAAAGGCCCCCCAGTCTCTCCTCCCGGCTCTAGGGCCCTAGAGATCACAGGAGTGGAGCCCTGTGACCCCAGCCCCGAGATCGGCTCCCTTTGCCTGGGGAGCTTCCAGGGCCTGCCCCTGCCCTCCTCTGGACCTCAGCTTCACGATCCGCAAAGGAAGCGGCCTGGCCGGAGCTGTGGGGTCCCTCAAGCGCGGCGCCTCAGGATGCAGGGCGGGCTCCCTGGTCCCTCTGCAGAGGGGGCCCTTAGAACCACGGAAAGCTGGGGGCTGCAGGGACAGTCCAGCAGGGAGGCCTCCCCGGCTTCCCTGTCCGCATCCGTCCTGTGGGAGCCCGGGGGCTTGACCGGGGCTGCCTGGGTCACCCGGCTCCCCAGGAGGCAGGCAGAGGTCCTGGGGTCCAGCGCCGCCGCACCTCAACTCCATCCGAGGTCAGCGCCCGGAGGGGCCCTGCGGACTGGACCCAGCCCGCCCCTTCCCAGGGAGAGGGACCCGCATCGCGTCTGTCTCTGTGACACCCATGGGAGGGCCGTGCTGGCCTCCCGGGGATCTGGGGCGAGGCGGGGGAATCCCAGCCACCTGGCCATCATGCTGAAACCTCGTCTCTACTAAAAATACAAAAATTAACCGGGCGTGATGGCGCCCGCCTGTAATCCCAGCTACTGGAGGGGCTGAGGCAGGAGAACCGCTTGAACCCGAGGAGGAGGTTGCAGATCTGGGGTCACTGCAGTCTCCGCCTCCCTGGCTCACGCAATTCTCCTGCCTCAGCTTCCCGAGTAGCTGGGATTACAGGCACACACCACCGTGCGTGGCTAATGTTTGTATTTTTAGTAAAGACAGGGTTTCACCATGTTGCCCAGGCTGGTCTCAAACTCCTGACCTTGTGATCTGCCATCTTGGCCTCCAAAAGTGCTGAGATTACAGGTGTGAGCCACCTTGTCCGGCCGTGTCAGGAGTTCAAGACCAGCCTGACCAACATGCTGAAACCACGTCTCTACTAAAAATACAAAAATTAGCCGGGCATGATAGCACATGTCTGTAATCCCAGCTACTTGGGAGGCTGAAGCATGAAAATCACTTGAACCCAGGAGGCGAGGTTGCAGTGAGCCGAGATCGAGCCACTGTACTCCAGCCTGGGCGACAGAGCGAGACTTCATCTCAAAACAAAAGCAAAAACAAAATAATATTCAAAATGGTGAAGACAGAAAGTAGACTGGTGGTTGCCAGGGGCTGGCAGAGGAGGGAACGGGGAGTTTGTATTTAACGGGTAGAGAGTTTTAGTCTTCCAAGATGAAAAGAACCATCTGGGCATGATGGCTCACACCTGTAATCCCAGCATTTTGGGAGGCTGAGACGGGCAGATCACCTGAGGTCAGGAGTTTGAGACCAGTGTGGCCAACATGGAGATATCTTTCCTCTACTAAAAATACAAAAATTAGCCGGGCGTTGTTGCGGATGCCTGTAATCCCAGCTACATAGGAGGCTAAGGCAGGAGAATTGCTTCAACTCGGGAAGTGGGGTTGCAGTGAGCCAAGACCCTGCCATTGCACTCCAGCTTGGGTGACAGAAGGAGACTCTGTCTCAGAAAAAGGGAAAGAAAAGAGCCATGGAGACGGATGGCGGTGACGGTTGGGTGACATTGTGAATACATTTAATATGTTTAATGTGACTCAACCCTGTACCTAAAAACAGTCAGGATAGTAGATTTTATGTTAAGTCTGAATTACCACAATATTTTTAAAATTGAAAGAAAATCAGGAGCAAAGATTTTACCAAAGCAATATGTGGATGGCAGGTGCATGAAATAGGTATTTGCATCACTTCCCCCAATAGGGAAGTGAACATTAAAACCACAGTATTACTACGGACCTATCAGAATATTACCACAGACTTATCAGTGGCTAAATAAAACATCGCAGTAGTGCCAAATGCTGGAGAAACTGGATCATTTATACATTGCCGATGAGAATATATTTTCTATTATAAAGTATATCGAGTGCTGTTCTTGAATATACTTTAGTAGTTTCTTATAAAACTCAACATGTACTTAACATGCAATCCAGCTTGGGCATTTATTCCAGAGAAATGTAAACTTACATTCACATTTAAAAAACAAAAACAGGCCGGGTGTGGTGGCTCACGCCTCTAATCCCAGCACTTTGGGAGGCTGAGGCAGGTGGATCACAAGATCAGGAGTTCGAGACTAGCCTGACCAACATGGTGAAGTACAGTGGCAAGATCTCAGCTGGAGTACAGTGGCAAGATCTCAGCTCACTGCAACGCCCACCTCTTGGGCTCCAGCTATTCTCCTGCCTCAGCCTCCCTGGTAGCTGGGACTACAGGAGTGCACCAGCAGGCCTGGCTAATTTTTTTTTGCTTTTCTTTTAAGTAGAGTTGGAGTTTCACCATGTTGGTCTCGATCTCTTGACCTTAGGTGATCTGCCCACCTCGGCCTACTCAAGTGCTGGTATTATAGGTGTGAGCCACCATGCCCAGCCATATATAACTTTCATCAAATAAAATTACACAGGTGGAAAAATTTGGGGTGTGTGTGTGTGTGTGTGTGTGTTTTGAGACAGGGTCTCACTCTGTCACCCAGGCTGGGGTGCAGTGTTGCAATCATGGCTCAAGTGACCCTGCCTTGTCAGCCCCCCAGTAGCTGGAATCACAGGTGCACACCACCAGACCTTTTTTTTCTGTTTTAGACGGGGTTTCACCATGTTGTCCAGGCTGGTCTCGAACTCCTGACATCAAGTGATCTGCCCACCTAGGCCTCCCACAGTGCCAGGATTGCAAGTATGAGCCGCCACACCTGGCGTGAAATTGTTTTTAAAAAATAGTCTGGGCAAGTGTCTCACACCTGTAATCCCACCACCTTGTGAGGCTGAGGTGGGAGGATCACTTGAGGTCAGGAGTTTAAGACTGGCCTGGCCAACATGGTGAAAACCCATCTCTACTAAAAATACAAAAAAAATTAGTCGGGTGTGGTGGTTTCTGCCTACAGTGCCAGCTACTCAGGAGGCTGAGGCAGGAGAATTGCTTGAACCCAAGATTGAGCAACTTTGCTCCAGCCTGGGTGACAGAGCAAGACTCCCTCTCAAAAAATAAATGAATAATAAATAAATAAATAAAAAGTAGTGTGACTAATGATAATAACAATCATTTCTTCCATTCTATTAACATTCCAAGTACTGTGCTAAGTTCTTTACATCAAGTTTCACATTTTTATCTTGCCCATGACCCTATAAGCTGGGTATTACTACGACCACTTATAGATGAGGAAGATTAGGGGCCTGGAGACATTAAGTAAATCACACGAGGTCACACAGTCAGGAAGGGCAGATCTCAGATTTGCCTGGCTGCAAAGCTGGCGTCCCTTCCCCACTGCGCCTTAACTGCCGTCTTAGAGCTGGGTTTGAGGATGCCTCCCTGGTCTGGAGTTATTATGACATTTTCTTCTACAAAGTATGTTCCTGGTAAGCTGAACTGTTTATTTTCCACCTATTTATTTATTTTTCCTTTGAGATGGAGTCTTGCCCTGTTGCCCAAGCTGGAGTGCAATGGTGTGATCTCCGCTCACTGCAACTTTTGCCTCCTGGGTTCCAGCAATTCTGCTGTTTCAGCCTCCCGAGTAACTGGAATTACAGGCACGTGCCACCACACCCAGCTAATTTTTGGTATGTTTAGTAGAGACAGGGTTTCATCATGTTGGCCAGGCTGGTCTCGAACTCCTGACCTTGTGATCCGCCCACCTCAGCCTCCCAAAGTGCTGGGATTACAAATGTGAGCCATTGTGCCCAGCTACACTGATACTCCTATCCTTTGTCCATCTGTTTCTGATGGCAACAGAAACCTTCCCCTCCCAAAAACAATCACTGGGAGTCCACCTTGTGCAGAGGTAGGACAAGCTTTCATGCAGGTACGAGTGCTGCTGCACCCCCAACACCCTTGCATCCTCCTCCCTATCTGCCTTCAGGTTGCAGCCAGAGGAGTTTAGAGTGTGTCTTGCCCACACTTGACCCTGTATCTGCCTTGTGGGGTGACCTCCCTGAATGACCAGTAGCCTCCTTGACTCCCAACCGACTCAGAATGCAGGACGTTCCCAGCCAACTGCCCCTGTGACAGTTGGACTTAGAATCAGATTCATCTTAAACCGACCAAACCAGGCTGCTGGGCAGTTAATACTCATTAAGTGAAAAAGTGGCCTGTGGGGCTGGTGCTTGGACAGCTCGGGGAGTGAATCCGACAAGCTGCCAGGGTCTCAGTGCCTATTGACCAGAACAGCTGCCCGAGCAGCCTAGACTCAGGCCTGGCTGAGAAGGATCAGAGGCTGACCTAGCTCTTGAGTGGGCAGCTTCCTGCTCCTACCCTTTCTCACCAAGACTCAGGCCCTGCTGTATAAACCACAACAACTCCAAATCTCCTGATGGCTTCAAGTCCACAGCACCTTCAGTGGAGAAGCTGGCAGGGGGTGACGACTGAGGCTCCACCTGCTCTTGGCCAGAGGCTGATTTAGATGCTCCTGGGGATAGGCAGGAGGTTTCCTTGTATCCAGATCACTTTTCTGGCATATCCTGTACTTAAATCTATCATGATCCATGAGCCATGAGCATGAGAAAAATACATTCAAAGTAGAGACCACTGTTGATATGCTCCTGGCAGGAGACCATGGGCCAGTGCTCATGTTTCCCAGGTTACACTTGTGTTCACCAGCTGCCTAAGGGAGACTGAGTCAAAGTTGGGCTTAGGAGGAGGGGTCCTTTTGTGTGGTGGGCACTTACAATACA